CAGGATCGCTTCACACCGTTATAAACGTCGAGGGAGGCGATTAAGAGTCGGCGGCGGGGACGGAGGCGGCGGCGGGGACGGCGGCGGCGGAGGCGAGGAAGGAGGCGTCTGTGCCGATACCACGTCTGCTACCACCAGCAGCGCCAACGCACAGAGTGCGAGGACGGCACCAGTTCGGCTGCACACGTGGCGGGGCAGGTGGGGGGGGGGGTGAGGGAGGGAGGGAGTGAGTGGCGGGCGCTGGTCGCGGTGGGATTGAATTTTTCGGTGGCGCCAAGCATCACCATTGGCTGCGTGGCTGAGGGGCGGCGACGGGAGGGGAAGGGGGGGAGGGGGACGGGTATGCGAGGCAGGCGGCGATACAGATGGCAGAGACCACGTAGCCAGATAAAGACGGCATGCTTTTTGCGGAGGGGGGAGGGAGGGGGACGCAGGGGAGGATGGCGCAGGTAGTGGCGGCGGTGCAGGAAAAGGTCGTGGAAGGTCACCGTGTGCAAGAAGGTGATCGTGGCCATGATCAACGCCTGCCGTTTTTTTGCGGGGGGAAGGGGGGGGGGGAGGGGGGAGGGGGGGCGAGGGGGAGGAGGGGGAGGGGGGCATGGGCAAGGTTTGGATGCAGGGTGTGGAGAGGTGGGAGGGGGGGGAGGGGTCACATCTGGAGTGCGTACCGCATTATGTACGAGGGTATGGCCGGTGGTTGAGTGTAGCTATCTGCCGTGGTGAAGGGCTGGCGCCGGAGGCTGGTGCACTCGAGAGCTGTCGCGCTTCCGTTGCTGAACGCACGAATGTTTGCACTCAATTGATGGCTGCTGCTTGGTTGATGCGCTGATTGACGGCGGTACGATCATGTCCGCAGACCAGCCTCAGACGGTGTCCCAGGTGAACGTTGGGGAGAAACACGCGGGAAAGGGGGGGGGAAGGGGGGGGGGGGGGGGGGGGGAGTAGTCTCTGGGGCGGGTCAAGCTTGTTGTCCGGCTTGGATCAGATAGTTGGACATGGCTTTGATAGAGGTGATGATCGCAAGGGTCGGTTGCGCGGAGCGTGGGCGTGCGCCTTTCATTCAATCATCTTCAACGATCGTTCTTGCGCAGTTCTCTGGCGCAAGCTAGGGAGGACAAGCGCAGCAAGATCATGGGGGGGAGGAGGATGTGGTGGTGGCGAGTCGCTCAGATCGTGAGTACGATCAGCCGTGGTTGGTACTTGCGAATGAGCCAGTTTGGTCAGCGATCCCCGTAAACTGGACCGGCATGCGGCACGTGGCGCGGTCGGTGGAGATGGCAGCATCTGGTGGTGACCAAACTCGGACAGGAGACACATCCTTTATGGTGGGAAATGTAGAGCGAGTATGGGCGTGTGATATGCCGTTGATGACGGATGGGAGGACGATGAGTGGATGGAAGAAACGGCAGAAGGATCGATTTTGGCAGCAAAAGTGAGTCGGCAGCGGAGGAGGGGTTGGGGGGAGGGGGGGGGAAGGGGTACAGGAATGACCGAGGAGGCAAAGCACTTGACGGGGAACGACAAGCGAGGTAGAAAAGGATATGGCTGACCGGATACTGCATTTTATTCCGCACACGTGCTATGTGTGTGGCGTGGCTGGTCGTGCCGGACAACGTCTCAAGCGGTGCGTCCGCTGCAAGCTCGTCCACTACTGCTCCAAGGAGCACCAGGTCGCTCACTGGAAGGCCAAGCGCCATCCGCACAAGGATCTGTGCGAGATCTATGCTACTGCTGCTGCTCGTGTTGACAAGCCTCGTCGTTGCTGTGCTGATCGCCTGGCCAGTGCCGACGCCAACACGAATACCGGCGCCAACACTGACGCCGACGCCAACACGAACACCGACGCCAACACTGACGCCGACGCCAACACGAATACCGACGCCAACACTGACGCCAACACCGACGCTGGCAGCGATGCAGCCGAGGCTGCGACACGCGTGGCCAGGGATGAAGGCCCGTGTGCGTGGCATCCAAGCGAGGTGCCGGCTGTTGGGGCCATGTCGGAGCAGGAGCACTTTGAGCGGTGCTTGGGCTCGCTCAAGGTGGCTAGCATGCTCAAGCGCCGGCGCCTCGACTACGAAGAGGCTGCGCCGCTGGTGCTCCGGCGGGCGTGCATGGTCTGCCTTACGCCTGATGGCTCAGAGGAGCTCGAGTCGCTGCGTGGGTGCCCAGAGTGCATGCTGGTCTTCTTTTGCTCGGACGCGTGCCGCGAGGCCGGCCGCGACGCGCACTCGCGTGTCTGCCGCTCGTTTAAGCTCATGGCCGCAGCCGAGGCCTTTGGCCGCGCCGCACGCCTCGACAAGCTGTCGAACCCGTACCCGCTGTGGATGTCGCCGGTGGTCCAGCCGGCTGCCGCCCGCCTCCCAGCCCACTGGTCCGACCTCATGGCCATCCGGAAGGCCCCTCACTTTGCCTTTGACGCCGAGGCCTTTATCCTCAACTCGCTCTCGCTCCCGTACACTATCATCCGTGCTCTCGAGATGGTCACTGACGGCATTGCCGCCGACGACTCGCTCGAGAACCTGCCCGACCTCGAGTTCCGCACCTCGCTCGAGATCCACATCCTCAACTCGGCCATCTACCCGGAGCTGGTCGCCGCCTCAAAGTACGAGGACATCCTGCACTGGCTTCCGAGCATCATTTGCCTCAAGCTTGTTTTTGTCGGCGCGCCGCTTGCCCCGGCCATGCGCGCTCTCGGCACCATGCCGCCTCCCGAGCTCTGCCACGCTTGCATCGCCCACGCACCTGACCGCGCCCTCTCCATCGAGCTCGTGCCCAAGACTTACGCTGCCGCCGTCGCCGACGGTGACGTCAACCCCGCCGCGGCCTCGCTCGCCATCGCGTTCAACCCCGAGCTGCCCGAGGATCACGCCGGCGTCTGGGCACCCTCGCTCGACGCTCTCCGCACCGCCGCTGTGCCCACCGCCGTCACCGCCTACACGGCGCACGAGGCCGCTGCTTGCGTCGACGTCCTCCACTCGCGCGGCATGCGCCTCGTCGCCCGCCCCACTTCAAACCCCTTCCGCGGCGGTCAGCCGTTCCTCGACCCAGGCCACCTCAACGCCGTCTACTACCACAACGCCTACATTCTCGCCGCATGCGGCACCCTTCCCGACGTCGGCGCCTCTTGCGACCACGGTCATGGCCACGACCACGATCACTCTCACGACGCTCATAATGCGTAAAATACCTACCTTCTCACCTTCAACATACGCCGCCGTGGCTTCGAGCAGGCCGTCGTCAATTGGGTCACGAGACCAAGACCTTTGACCACGACTCACGTTGACCCGACCCTGCGAAAGACGCACGCCAACTGCGCCCGTAGCCAATATGGCTGCCGTGAGATACACTCAACCCACCCTAATCTTGAGCTATCAGCTCACCACCGCATCCTTGCAGAGTCATTCCCTCATCCGGGACGCCCTCCTCTGGAGACTGTATCCTCCCACGCCGCTGAGCTGCCTCGCTGCTTCTTGGGAACCCCGTTATGTCGGCTTCGGGTGTGCTGCGGGTGAGCCAGGCAAGACTTCCCGAACCCACCATTATCTCATGGTACGCACCTTGGTGACAGCTCACCATGGGGTGATATTGATTACCAGCTTGTTCTTGTCTCCATGTACATCACCATGATTGCCTTGTGCTTGTTTGAAGCTGCCCCCTCCCCCCCCCCCCCCTCCCCCGTTTCTCTGTGCCGTGCTTTGTCCCTGCCGTGCCTGAACCTTCTGCCGCAAATGATGGGAGCGACTGACAGGTACTCTACGCCCACTAACTGTCAACGTTGTTTTTTCCCCGCTCCACTAGGCCGCGATTTCGTGCGCATCTGAGAGACGGTATGCTCATCCTTGCGCCGCACTCGGGCGATGCCACCAAGTTGTCATCTCTTGTCCTCACCACAAGTGAGTATGTCATCGAGTCCAAAGCCTTTGGTCCCGAGAAAGAACCCATCCTCGTTCTCGTCAGGCGCAGGGATGCCTCGCACGCTCATGTCTCGCGCTCAGTGTCGTCGCCCTCACTCCAGGGTGAAGCCCAGACGCCTGCAGTTGTGTATCTAGCGTGCGATCCATTCTCATCGACCGCGTCATGGGAGACAGAGCTTGGCCTTTCGCAGCTTTCTTCAGACCTCGCATCGCAGCGGTCGTCGCGGCTCTCTTCTCGCCCGCGATCGCATGCCGACTCTGGCGGACTGGTGTCAAGTCCGTCCGGCGCCGGGCATCTTTGTACCGTCGAGCCCATGCTGGCCAAGACCAGCCTTCTCAGTCCACGCCGTGGATGGACCATCCAGTCGACAGCTTCGAGCTCAACTGCCATCACCAGCTCGTCGGCATCGTACGTGTCGGGCCACACGGTGTGGCGGCCGTCGCTCAATGCATATCCAATTGTTCGCGAGGAACCAAAGATGCTGCTTGCCTGGTACCGGCTGCACTTTATCACCCGGGCGCACGCCAACTTTGTGGCTCACAGCTCGACGGCTGGACCTGTCGTCATGTCGGTTTGCCGGAGCCACACCTTCGAAGTCCGCGCCATTGTCTGGTTGCCGGGCGCCACGCATCGGTTCACTGCCGTCGCATCGAAGACCTTCCGCTCATTTCGCAGTGATCTCCGCATTGCGCTTGACGCGTACGGCTTGGGCCAGGGTATTGGCTCAGAGCTCGAGTGGCGGGCTTCGTCTGATGAGCGCCTCTTGGCCGAGCTTGTTGCGCTCGAGGACACCGAGTTTGTGCGGTGTCTCGATGTGGCGGTCATGCTTGCCCCACAGGCGGCGGTCACGGTCTCTGACGCCCTGCACACTGTGCCGAGCGGGGCCATCGCTGCATCCTTTGAGGCCTTTGTCTCATCCATCGGCACCCGCGTCCCGCTCGCTACCTGGGACGGCTACACTGGCGGCCTCACCTCGCGCCATGCCGACATGGGCGTCTTTGCCGCCGTCCACTCAACCGACACCATGTTCCGGGTCCTTCCGTACCTCATGCCGGACGCGCGCGAGGACATGCTTGCCTCGTCTGATGCTGTCGTCGTCTTTCTCTCTGACGCCCACACTACCTTTACCTTACCCTCCAGCAAGTCACGGACACTCCCGCGCATCTTTGCTGCCGTCGCGCCACACCCCTCGGTCCCGGACCTATGGCTCTACCAGATCGCCCGGACTTCGGATATTCCGGTCTTTGGCGTCGTCCCGCACTCGGATGCACACTTTCGCGGCGCAGCCTTTGCCCACGACCTCATCATCGATCTCTCCAACGCTGTTGCCGCGTTTCGACGGACGCCGTCGCAGCGTGAGGCGGCGTTTTTGAGCCTCGCCAACCTGCTCAGCGATCCGGACCTCGCGGTCTCATCGACGCGGCGCGGCGTTGCGATGCCGGCCAACGTCGACTTGACTCTGCCGCCTTTGCTCGGCTCCGGCGTGAGCGGAGCGATGCGGCGGGCCGTCGCTCCGCTTGCTGTTGCCCGTGACTCGCTCTCGACCGTGACGTTGTCCAAGGCTAACACGCCGTTTGGCAGCAACGTCATCGCCTGGGACGCTTGGCGCAACGGCGGTGCTGTCTACTCGACCGCTTCCGGTGTGTTCTCTCTGCCATCACCACACGGACAAGTTCGCATCCTCGTCTCTTCCGCAGCGAGTCAGGTCGCGGTCATCGACATCCTCGACATTGCTCTCGTGCGGTTCCAGCGGAAGCGGCTCGGCGTGGCGTACGTCCATCTCGACTCGATCGGCGACCCGGTCCTGTGCCCCATTCCCGACTCGCGGGCGGCCACATGCTTTGCCATCCACTCTCCGTCGCCGTCGTCGTTCCAGGTCTGCGTCGCGGTCAAGTCCTCCATCAACATCTTCCGCTGGGACGCAATCCACTTTGTTCCACACCTCGTCATCGAGCTTGACGCCACCCCACAGGTTGTCACCTTTCTTTCATCTGGCCTGCTTGCCGCCGCTTTTGATTCTGCCTTTGCCATCCTGTCGCCGACTTTGGGCAGCTACACGCCCATCCGGACCGCAAGTATCGTCGGGCCAAAGCCTGGTGCCCGTCCGCATCCTTCGATCTTGCTCGAGGTCTCTGTCACTGGCGCTGCCTCACATCTCCTTGTTACATCGGGCTGTACCTCGCTGCTTGTCGACTGCGAGACGGCAATGCCAATGGACCCAGCCGTCGTTTTGCGTTGGAGCTTTGCCCCGCTCGCTCTTGCTGCACTCGACTACTTTGTCATCGGCGTCTCGCAGAGTCACGTCCAGCTCCGCTCTCTCCGCAATGGCACCCTCATCCACAATCTGACCTGCCCGACGCCGCTGCAGCTGCTCTCCGCCAAAAATGCGCCCACTGTCCTAGCTGGATCGAATCAAGATGCTCGCCTCTACCTCGTCGAGGCCTGCGAGCAGCAATACTCTGATCCCGAGATGGCTGCTCTGGCCATGTCAGCGACCTCTGTGTCACGCCTCCACAGCTCGGCTGGATTGACAACGTCGACCGACGGCTCCCTGTCATCATCGCAGGCCAAGGCTCCTTCGCTCGTTGCGCCGCGCCTGCCGCCCAAGTCGACTTTGGGGATCTCGAGTGCACCCATCCCGCCGTCACGGCCCACCCACGACATGTGGAACTCGCGATCGTCGCAACACATGACATCCGAGACGTCTGAGGCGCTGTTTTCCGGAAACAGCACCAGCTCGCCGCTCACCGCCAAAAGTCGCCAGATCAGCGACATCCTTTGCCAGCAAGCCGCTAAGGACGCAAACAGCACCCCGAGCTCACCGCGAGCCGCGTCCACCTCGGATGTTGTCTCTGCGAACAGCTCGCCGCGCCAGTTGTCGACTCCGAGCCTCTCGCACCGCGACCACCATGGGAGCATCACTCACATCCTCGTCCACTCGGAGTCGACGTGCATCACAGCTCTCGCGGACCTATCCCTCGACTCCAACTCGGCGTCAAGCTCGTCGAGCTCGAGTTCGACGTCGATCTCATCGTCGAGCGCAGCTAGCCCGCTCTCTTACTCGATCACACATTCGACGACGTCCGCGCGCCTGTCGTCGCCTGCACCCTCGGCCACCTCCTCGACCACGGTCTCGCCATCGTTCTCCTCGTCGGCGAGCCTGGGCATCACCGTCGATACATCCTACGGACTCTTCCCACACTACTCTGACTCGGCGGATGGCGACTCGTCTTCGTCGTTCTCCTCCTCATCGTCACCATCGTCGCCGTCACGAGCGGACTTTTCAATGTCGAGCACGTCATCGTGCTTGCCGACCTCGCCTTCGCGCACCAGGGCCTCAGCCGCTTTCTCGCCGGCCGTCGTTATGTATGAGAGCTCGCTTTCACTTGCGCCTGCCCACGATTCAGGCGACCATGAGTCATGTCAACTCTCATCATCCTCCTCGACGAGCCTTTCCTCGCCGCAGTACGCTCTCAGCCACACCTTTACCTCAATTCCGCTCCTCACCTCATCGCTCTCGACTTCAGTTGCACGCCTGTCTGTCTCCACCGAGATCTCCTAGCCGATCACGACACGCTTTCTCGCACCATATTTGGTTGGAAAGCCTGCGGGAGCAGACGATTGCTACTTGTACACGCAGCAGGTGTTGAGGTTGCCGACCGACGTGGTTTTGCTTGGCGAGCGTGGGAGGCTGCTGCGGAAGACAGCTGCCATCGCTCTCTCCTCGTGCATCCTCACCCCTTATCTTGTATTGCTTGCGAGGACGAGGGTGGCTACTCCGTACCGTGAAAGGTCAAAGCAAGGAGAGCCGCTACTTGGCTGTGACGTGCCTCGTGCGGTGCGGCTGTGGGCGGATTTTGTCGAGAATCACAGCAGAATCAGCCGGGACACCTTAAATTGGCAGTTGATTGGATTCCTGTGACCCGCACAGCCCATGGCGTCCCGCCGCACCCGTACCAAGCCTTCCACAACTTCAGTGAGCAGCTGCAGCCTCATTTCTCTCTCGCCTCCCCCCTCCCCCCTTCCCCCTCCAAGCAGGAACCGCCCCACGACAGACCTCTTCACGTGCATCTCCCCTCCCTCCCCATCCTCTTCCAGCAACCATGCCTGGCATGGTTGCTTCTGGTCTTGTCTCGGTGGCGCCGTCGGGCCCCTCCACCACACGACCACCATCGTCATGGTACGAGTGATAAATTTCCCAATTGCCACAGCTTCCTGCCTCTCTTTTTTCCCCCCTGGCGAGCTTTCAGATAGACTCACCCTTCCCTTCCGCTGCCCTTGACTCGGCCGCTTGGCCCTTGACACTGCTCCGTCACTATGATCGGCTGTGCTACGTCTCCCTTGGTGGTCATGATGACACAGGCCAAAGTTTGAAGGCCATCTCTCAAGAACAGCGCTGATGCTGCTGCCGATCTCCTCCTCGTCGTCACCATATGTCCTCCAGCTGCAGCAGTTCCACTTTGATGTCGTTGGCGGCTTGCCGTGTGCGCCCGATATGGCTTTTCTCGCCTTTACCCCGAGCAAGGACTCGCCATCCTCGGTCTCGGACGCCGATTCATCGGGTGTGCTCTCGAGCCGGACTGCTTTGCCGACCATCTCGATGATGACCATCATCGTGGCGGTCGAGACGCCCGAGTACCTGGTCGAGTGGCAGATCAAGATTACCGAGGTTGTAGCCGGCCTGGAGCAGGAACTTGCAGGCGGGAACTCGACCGTCACATTCTCGCGCGGTATGTCGTCCCGCTTTGGCTCGTCCGTCTCGCTTGTGGCGAGACGTCGGTCCGGGACTGACACCCTGCTTGACAGCAGCCGCTCTACCAAGTCGGGCAAGAGTAGCTTGCTGTCCAGCCGAACGAATTCGTCGCGGTTCAACCGCTCGTTGACGGACGCATCATCTGTGTCTGGAGGAAGGAGCTTGGACACGAGCCCCGATCCTGCGTTGCACCGCACAAGGTTGCCGCCAACTCGCTCGGATGGCATGTTGCAGCCTGGAAGCATCCCGTTGGATGCAAGCTTAGGCATGAGCGGCTCACCCAGGTCTGGAAGTTCGTCGTCGGCCGCATCGATGATGTCAACAGTGTGCTTACATTCATCTGCAGTGAGGCCCCAGCGTCTGCTAGCGGCGACTCGCGGATGGGCGACCATCACGATGCCGCGTAAGAAGATCATGTCGGGTGCACACGGCGCGCAGGCGACGGTGACGTGGGTGCCGACCGAGACCGAGTACAATGTGACCGAAGAAGAGCCGCCAGCACTTGTGGCTTGGTATCAGCGGTTTTTCGCAGCCTCACCGCACGCCAACTTTGTGGCGGACATCCCGGCCCGTGGCGGGATCCACATTGTCTCGATCGCTCGTAGCGGCGCAACCACAATCCGTGCCATTGTGTGGAATGCGCACTCAATCGCACGTTTTCAGCTTACCACTCCCCTTGCGTTCAAGTCGTATCGGCGCGACCTGCGTGCCGTTCTCAATCACTTTGGGCCCCACTGGGAGAAGCGTGATCGCAAGTCCAAGTGGCAGTGTGTGGTCGGCCACGGCCTCGTCCGCACGCTCTCCGAGCTCGAGCAAGCGGCGTTTGTGACACGGCTGGAGTTGTGCCTGCTGTATGTGGCCCGCGATGAGCGGCACATTCTTCAGCGGACCACAGCTTTTGTCAACTTCCTGCTCCTCCTCGCCAGGCTGCTCGGCACCTCGTACGCGGCCGAGAACTCGGTCATGCGCGGCTCTCTAGGCTCGATGGAGGTCTTGGTCAACATTGTTGAGACAGTCGACACTGGCGAGAGGTTGCCGAACTCTTCAAAGGCGCGCGCGGCCGAGTCGACGGTGACGCTGGTCTTCCTCTCTGAGCCTGGCATGGTCTACACGCCCCCGCCGCTTGCTCAGCACTTGGCCGAGGTCTTGTGTGTCCTCGCGCCACACCGAGTGTACCCGTCGATGTACAATGCTGCCTTCGCGCACAGTAACTCGAGCCTCTCGTTTGGCCCGCTGCCGCTGGGCCACCCACGCCAACTCACCCGCGCCTTTGTCGCTTCGCTTCTGATCAACCTCAAGAACGGTCTGGTCTCGGCCTCACACTCGGCAACCGGCACCGCCACCACCGCTCGTGCACAACGGTACTCAGCGCTTGTCGACGCAGCAACGGCCGTCAACGACGGCGCGCCCGAATTTGCCCTCGGATCCGACTCGGGCGCCGACGCCCATCTCGGCGACCTACCCGCCGCCTTTGTCCCACAGCTCTCGTTTGCTACCGACATCTTTGTCGTGTATGGCCCGGTCATGCATGTCGACACCATGACCACTACTTGGATCCCGTGGGGGGAGGGAGGCGCCGTTTTTCTACCACCTCGCTTGTCAGCTACTCTCGCGGGAGCCACGACTCGACTCACCCGCTCATCGAACCCGGCGCGTCGGCGCTGAAGGTTATCGACGACATCAACGTCGTGGTTGTCAAGTTTGCGCGAGCCAAGCTTGGCGTTGGCTACGCGCATCTCAACTCGATCGGCACAGTGATCATGCACCAACTCGAGGCAACCCGGAATGCCACAAGCTTTTCGGTCCATACGGAGGCAGCACTCGGGACGGTATCCTACTTTGTGGCAGTCCTGGTCAAGTCGCGGGTCGAGGTCTTCAAGTGGTCAGCCTCCCGGTTCGTGCACTACACCTCGCTCTCACTTGACGCGGCGCCCCTGGCAGTCTCGTACATCCCATCGTCGCTTCTTGCCATGGCGCTCCCGACAGGCTTTGTCGTCATGTCGCCTGTCAGCGGCCGCTTCCGCCACATCCGCGGCTCGCAGCACCTGCCTCCACCGATGGTCGACACTATTTTGTCGTCGTTTGCCCTGCCGGTCTCGATCACGAGCCCCGACTCGCACCTTCTCATTACCTCGAACATGACATCGTCGCTCTTCAACGCCGACACGCTGCGCCCAGTCGTACCCGCAGTCGACATCATGTGGTCGTTCCGCCCGCGCGACGTTGCTGTCGTCGAGCTCTACGTCCTTGCCCTCTCGACTGTCAACGAGATCGAGGTCCGCCAGATCCGTAGCGGTGCGCTCGTTCAGATCCTCCGCCTCCCGCAGCCGTTTGCGTTTGGGCCAGCCTTTCACACCGCTGACGGCGCACCCAGACTCCACGTTGTGTGTGGCGACTCGCATGGTTCGACCGTGGTATACATGATCAAGCCGGCCGAGCATCCCGATGGTCTGCCGCCGGCGTTCAACCGCATCAACACGCTCCAGGCGGTCCAGCTCAAGAAGGGCAGCAGCCGCGACTCGGGATCATCCGATGGCTTGGACATACGCAGCACGACTGTGTTTGACGGCTCGATGTCAGATTCTCTCGGAACAGCCATGTCGGTTCCGGAGCTGGGTGCGCTCGTCGATACCATCGCCCCGCTCGACACGATGCAGTCGACCTCGTGCACTCTGAGCGCGGGACAGGCCCTAGTTACGTCTGAAATCTCACCCGAGGAGCGTACGCGCCAAGCATGTTCTCTTAGTTTGGGCTTGTCGGCCTCGGGTGACACCTCGCTCACCAGCGAGGCCGCGAGCGCGAACGCGAGCGGGTCCGAATGCGAGTTCGACGGCGAGTCGTGGAACGGCAACGTGTCGGCGTCGTTGTCGGGCTATGAGGGGTCGTCAGCGGTGGCGGTGTTGTCATCGTCATCGTCGTCGTCATCATCATCATCATCATCGTCGTCGTCATCGTCGTCGGCATCGTCGGCATCGTCGTCGTCGGCGTCGTCATCGCATGCCTCCTTCTCGCCGTTGCTCGAGGCAAGCGAGAGCACCTGGTCGACCGTGCCGCACATCATGTCGTCGTCGATCAGCTCGTGCGGCGGGCTACCCCCATTCTCGACAGCTCCGGCTCGCAGCGTCTGACCGTCATTGTCGATGGCAGCCTGTCTCGCACCCTGGCGCTCAGTAGTGACTCGTCGTCTCGCACTTCGGCCGAGCAGCTGCTCTCACCATACATCACCCCCACGCCCTCCACCGAAGCCGTTCTGGTTTTCTCGGTCTCGTTCCATGCCAACTCCGACCTTGCCGCCGACGACGATGACGACTCGGACACCTTTACGGCCGACACTCTTCATCGGCCGTCGCCATTGACGCCCACCTACTCGCCATCGTTCGCCCAGTCCCCGACACTGCAGTCGACAGCGGCACCGCTGAGCTCGTCGGGCGAGTTTGATGGCACCCACTACGTCGATCTGTAAACGCCGCTGCCATTGGCACCAACAACAACTGGTAGCAAAGGCAACGGGAGACGGCTCCGCAGTTGATCGAGTCGTCGCTTTCTCCATCTTCAGCGCCTCGTTCGCTGGCCGGTCTCGGCTGTTCAACTTGCGGCGACGGCGACGGCTACGGCGACGGCGACGGCGACGGCCACACCCGACTCGTCCATGGCCCGACGCCACAGTCGCGTGGTACTTGATGAGGCTGCCCTTGTGGTAGCCATTATGCGGTCGTCATTCTTGTGGCAGACAAACCCTTCAGCTCCACCCCATGACACCACCCTCCTCACCCAGTTCAGGGACCTCTCAGACACCCTTGCCGAATGTCCTGGTACCGTCCCCCCCCCCCCCCCTCCCCTCCCCCCTCCCCTGACCCTGTCTCGTTCCCCTCGCCAGTCCTGCGAGTCGTCTTGTTGAATTATTGCTTTTTTCCCTTGGGATCAAATGCCCTCTGCATCCTCCGTCGCCACCTTCCACGACCTTTTTCTACACTTGCTCCTAGTGACGGGTGACCAGCGTGGATATCATGAATGGAGCAAGCGTAGAGATGGCATGTGTGTGTGTGTGTGTGTGTGTGTGTGTGTGAGTGAGTGAGTGAGTGAGTGAGTGAGAGTGAGTGAGTGTGTGAGTCTGTGTTTGGAAGTAGACCGAGGGACGGACGGAGGTGTCGAGAGTTGGGGCGGCGGTGGTGCGGACCTGGCTTGGGACGTGGCGTGGCTCTATCTTCCACCGCCCTTCTCCCCTCCCTGTCCCTGTCCCTGTCCCTGTCCCTGTCCCTCTCCATCTCCCTCTCCCTCTCCCTCTCTCTCCTTCTCCCTCTCCCTCTCCATCTCCCTCTCCATCTCCCTCTCCCTCTCCCTCGCCCTCTCCCTCGCCCTTCTTCCCCCGCAACACTGGGCTCCGCTGACGCCAAGTTCTGGCAACTCATCACTCATCCGCCCCCTCCCCCCTCCCCCCTCCCCCCCCCCCCCCACCCCTCGCTGCGACAGACCTCAGCAGCCTCCCGCCGACAAAGTTCTTGGCACCGTTCACCGATGTGGTGCGATCCCGTGAGGCGACGGGCCAGATCACAACAGCGGCGCTTGCTGCGCTGCACACGTTTGTGACTACCGACGGCCTGCTGACTGCCTGTGGGAGTGAGGCTCAGGTGGCGTCTGCTGTTGCCGCCGTCGTCCACGCGGTCATCCAGTGCCGGTTCGATCCGACTGACCGCGAGACCGACGCCATCGTTCTCCGCCATGTGCTCAAGGTCCTTGTGGCGCTCATCACGTCGCCGGCGCTGGCGGGCTACCTCTCGGACGCGCACGTGTGCGACATCCTACAGACCGCCTTCCGGATGTGCTTTCAGCGGCACATTTCGCGGCTCTCGCAGTCACTCGCTGAGGACGCACTCTTCTCCATGGTTTCGACGCTGTTTCGCGACTTTGTGGCGTCATCTCAGGCGCTGGCCAGCGCCCCGCAGCCCGAGTCTTCAGACGAGGGCATGCCGGACGACCGCGACAACGTCGACGATGCCGAGTCGTCGGCTGGCTCGGGCTACGTTCTCATCGATCCCCCGCGTGTCGGCGGCCCGGTTCCGGCGTCGATCTCTCTGCGGTCCACGACGCCGCGGCCATCGTCGGCGTCATCGGCTGGCGGCGGCGGCGGTGGCAGCGGCGGGCCGGCCTTTCCGGCCGACGGCGCTTCAGCAGGCTCTTCCGACGCCGTAGTGGACGGGGCCGCGGCTAGCGAGGCCGGGCCGCGAGGATCATCGCGGCCTGTTCGCCGCGGCCACGGTCTTCCGGCGCTTGTCGAAGTCCTCCGCTTCCTCACCTCGCTTCTCGACGGCAACGAGCCGGCCAACACAGCAGCCATGCAGGGCCTGGCCCTCGGGCTCGTCAACACGGTGCTCGAGGTGCTCGGCCACGAGCTCGTGAGCCTCCCGCAGCTGCTCAACCTTGTCTCGGGCCCGCTCGCCCACGCCGTCTACGGCCTGCTTCTCAAGCCGGTCTCGACCGCGACGCTCACGCTTGCGCTGCGGCTGGTGGGCAACCTGTACTTTTTTGTGCCCGGCCACTGCAAGCTCCAGCTCGAGCTCTACTTCAACACTCTCCTCGACACGCTCATCGATGGCTCGCACTCGTCGTATGAGCACCAGGAGATTGTGCTCGAGTTTTTTGTCTCGCTCTGCCGCGACCCGGACTTTATGCAGGTCCTCTACGTCAACTACGACTGCGACATCCATTGCTCGCCGCTTTTCGAGACGCTAACCAAATTCCTCAGCAAGTCGTCGTTCCCCATCAACGGCGAGCTCTGCTCGCTCCACCTACTCGCCCTCGACGCGCTCCTCGGAGTCATCAAGGGTATGGCGTCGCGTGCCGAGCCTGGCGCCGTGGCCGCTGCCGCCGGGGCATCACCCGATGCGCTCCGCTCTGCGCGCGCGCTCAAGGCCAAGCACGCCACCGCCGCCGCCAAGTTCAACACCAAACCCAAGCTCGGCGTGGCGTTTATGGACGAGGCCGGACTATTGGATGATTCAGAGGCGCGGGCGGAGCAGCTTGCGGCCTTTCTCCGCCAGACGCAAGCACTCGACAAGGCCCAAGTCGGCCAGTACCTGGCGGGCAACACTCCGTTCAACACCGCCGTCCTCGCCGCGTATCTGGCGACGTTTGACTTTGCCGGTGCCTCGGTCCACGGCGCGCTCCGCATCTTCCTCGAGTCGTTCCTCATTCCGGGCGAGGCACAGCAGATTGGGCGCATCATCGAGCAGTTTGCCATTGCGTACTACAAGGCCAACGCCGACGCCGAGTCGCCAGTCGCCAATGCTGACGCCGTTGAGGTCCTCGCCTTCTCCATCGTCATGCTCAACACCGACCAGCACCACCCGACGGTCAAGAACCGCATGACCCTCGCCGACTACCGCAAGATGCTTGCAGGCGTCAACAACGGCAGCGACTTTCCCGAGGCCTTTGTCGCAGACATCTACGACTCGATCTCCTCGCGCGAAATCATGCTCGAGGCCAAGGACGAGGCTCAGGCGTCCGAGGTGGCGTGGCGCAAGCTGGCATCTGCCGCGCCGCTCCACGATCCGGCTGTGTTTGTGGTCGCCGCCAGCGTCGTGCACGACGCCGAGATGTTTGCTCTCCTCTGGGGCCCGCTCCTCAACGCCATTTCGATTGTCTTTGACGCTGTCGACGACGAGCGCATTTTCCAAAAGGCCGTCGAGGGCTTTTACTTTACCGGCAAGTGCGCGGCTGCCCACGGCATGACTGAGCCATTTGACAACCTCATCATCAAGCTCTGCCAGTGCACCACGCTGCCGCTCGGCCCGTCGGCCTCGGGCTTTGCCAACTCGCTCAAGGCCCAGATGGCGGCCATCACGCTCTTTGCCATTACCCGCACCTACGGCTCACACCTCTCGGAAGGCTGGCGCAATGTCCTCGACACCATTCTCTGTCTCTACCAGCTTGGCCTCCTTCCGCGTGAGTTTCTCACTGTCCCGCCCGGCTTTGTCGCTTCCGACCCGCTCGTCCTTCCCTCGGCCTTCCCGCTCTCGCCCAAGCCCAAACCCTCGCCCGGCCTCCTCTCGACCTTTTCGTTTTTCCTCCCCTTTGCATCGTCGTCGGACGAAGGGGCTGCAAGTGCCGGGTCGCCGGGCAGCGGCACGGGCGCCGGCCCGCACCCGGGCGTCGACGATGCCGCCGACGCCGTTGCGGCCTGCCACATCGACAAGCTGTTTGCCAGTGTGGCGCCGCGCTTTGACGCGCCGTCGCTGGTCTACATGGTGCAAGCCATTGTCAAGCTCGCACCCGCGCTCAACGCCGCAGGCTCGACGTCGAGCTCGCCGTCGGGCGCCGCATCCCCACCGGGGCTCGACGTCGACGGCACCGCTTACCAGGTCTCGGGCAAGGCCGCCCTGCTTGTCTTCTGCCTCGAGCGCGAGATTGCGCTCCTCGAGGCCGCCGTCGGCTATCACTCCCCGGGCACCCTCTCCACCCTCTGGCACGTCGTGATGAGCCACGTTAGCGAGGTGCTGGCGTCGGCCGGCGCCGCCGGTTCGAGCGCGCCCACCTTGGTGCTCCAGCGTGCCGCCCTCGCCGTCATCCGCCTCGTCGCCGCGTTTGCGACGTCGGCCGCCGCTGACGGCGGCGTCGGCGCCGCCGCCATCGCCGATGCGCTGCAGCTTCTGGTCAAGCTCCCGGGCCCAGCATTTGCCCGGATCGGCGACGAAGTTGCCGCCGGCGTTGCCTCGCTCGTCGCATCGTGCGGGCCGCAGCTCGGTGGCGAGGCCCAGTTCTGGCTCAACGTGCTGCAGCTCGTCGCCCGCGCCGCCCGTCATCCTCAGGCTGTCCTCTTTGGCCTCCACACACTCAAGGCTTTGTTTGCGGCCGAGGGCCAGAGCGGGCTTGAGGAGCACCTGTTTGTGGCGCTTGACGGCTCGCCGTCGGCCGTTGCCGAGGCACAGTCGGAGGCGGTGTTCAAGCACTTGATGGCGGCGCTGGTGGCGTACCTCGTCAACGGGGCCTCGCAGTCGGACGCCGGAACACCGCTCGAGCTTGTCCGCGCGCTTCAAGTCAGCCTTGTGCAGCGGTTGGAGTCACTGTCGGCGTCGAGTCGCGCGGTGGCCATCTCGTCGGGCCGTCTGTGGTCGCTCTACTGGCGACGACTGCTGCTGGTGTACTCGGACGCAGCGCAGCATGGACAGCACGAGTCTGTCCGAGCCGCCGCCACCGAGCTGCTGCGGCAGGGCGCGCTACATGAGGTTGTGTCCGGCTTTGACCTCCGCGCGCTGGTCGAGCTCTTCCGCGACGCGCTCTTCCCGCTCCTCATGTGCTTGGTCGAGTCGCCGCCGTCGTCGGGCGCGCTCCTTGTCAACGCGCGCATCCGCGCCTCATCACTCATCACCGCCGTCTTTCTCGCCAATCTCCGCGCTCTGCTTGCTCTCGAGGACTTTGGCACGCTCTGGCTCAACCTCGTCCGCTTTCTGGAAGAGTTTGTGCGCAGGTCCGACCGTGCAGATGCTGGCGGCCTCGCGCTCACCGAGGCCATCGGCGAGACGCTCAAGAACTGTCTCAGGGTTATGGCCGTCTCGGGCGTCTTTGACTTTGTGGCCGGGGACTCGCCGCGGGCCAAGCTTTGGGCCTCTACCGCCACCGCCATCGCCGCCTTTCTCCCCTCCCTCGTCTCGCCCGACTTTGTCGCCGAGCTTAGCTCCGTCCAGGCCGGCGAGCTCCCGGCCCCGTCAGCCCCGGCCGTCGTTGACGAGTCGTCTGTCTACGCCGACGTCTCGCACTACTCGGTCTATGACGACGACCACACCGGCGTCGATGGTCCCGCAGACGACGACGAAGACGTCGATGATGACGACGTCACCGGCCTTCCCCGCCACCTTCGTATGTGTCTGCCGAGTGAAATCCCCCTCACACTATGTAGGATCTTCCCTCGCCCTCCACACGCCCAGCTCGACCGCCGGGGTGTCACTCAAACAGGCCCGGCCACTTGTCGCAGTATCCACAATGTCTGAGGTAGGTTTTCTTCATTGGGACATTCTCGCTTGGTTTCTACCCGCTCGCCCCCCTCCCTTCCCCTGCGCCTTTCCCCTTCCACGCCCTTCCTCCCACACACCCTCTCTCCTCCATCTGCCCATATCTTGTGCGGTCTCGAGTGTGGCTTGAGGTACCTCCCTTCCCTCTTCTGCCTCCAATGGCTGCCGAGGGAGGGTGGCAGTCGCCCATCGATGGCGAGTGGCAGTTTTTGGTGATGGGACATACCGCGTCCCGACCGCCTCCTCCCCCCTTCCTGCCCTCTGTCACTTTCTCGGTTGGCGAGTTTGCCATAGCTACGAGGACCGCAATAGGTGCAACATATGGGGGATGGTGGCCATGCTGTGTGTTGGGGGGCGGACGGCGACTCTGTGTTTGGTTGCGGCGGTGGGCGTGGTGGCGGAGGGCGTGATCGCGATCAGCTGGCAAATGGCGCCGCTTGATCAATGACGGCCTTTCCCTCAAGGAGGGCTACCTGGTGAGGAGAGACTGGGCGGGAGAGCGAGGGGGGATGACTTACAGGTGGGACGAGGTGCGGAGGATAGACTGGGGCACCGTCGTCGCCGACATCGATGTCGTCGCCGCCGGCGTTTACCTCTGAGGCTGGCGATCGCGTGGTTGGTTCCGAAGAGGTGGAAGAGGAGGCCAACGGGCCGACGGTGGAGCAAGACATGGAGGCGGCGCTGGGAGAGGACGAGGGGCGTGTGGCTTCGGACGAGGACGAGGATGGTGAGGAGCTTGTGGGCGACGACATGGCGCGTGACTACCGGGCGATTGCAGAGCTCGATCGGTACGAGACCCGTGGGGTGGACGACGATACGGTGGACGAGATGGACGCTGTGGCGCGTGCGGCGGCGGAGCGTGCGCTTGACGATCGCGATGCCGAGATGCGCGGGCGGCGGTCGCGGATGCCGCGGGCGCTGATGTCGTCCGAGGGCTCCGACGACGACGGGCCGCGGCGGCGGCGGCGGCGCGGACTGTCGTCGATGGGTTCTGACGCCGGGCTCATGTCGATGGCCGGCGATGAGGAAGGCGGAGCCGATGAGTACCTTGACGAGGACATCAATCTGGAAGACTACAAGGGCTCACTTCGCGAGTATATTCTGAAGGACGGCCCGCGGCGCGAGATTGCACGGCGGCTGACGGCGTTCCTCAAGGAGTTTGTGGACGAGGAAGGGCACGCAGTTTACTCTGTGCGGATCCGTAACATGTGTGCGGCCAACGGCGAGTCGCTGCATGTCTCGTACCTGCACATGGTGGACGCTGTGGACACGCTCGCCATGTGGCTGGCAGACCACCCGACGGAGATGCTTGAGATTTTCGACGAGGTCGCGCTCGCAGTGGTCCTCGAGGAGTTCCCCAACTACCAGTCGATCCGGACCGAGGTGCACGTGCGGATCACGGACCTTCCGATTGAGGACTCGCTGCGTGCGCTGCGGCAGGTCCACCTCAATGCGCTGGTCAAGGTGACCGGGGTGGTGACGCGGCGGACGTCTGTCTTCCCGCAGCTCACGTACGCAAAGTACAACTGCGACAAGTGCGGGACGCTCATTGGTCCGTTTTTCCAGAACGAGACAACGAGCAAGATCGACATTGGCTCGTGTCCCGAGTGCCAGTCCAAGGGCCCGTTCACGGTCAACTCTGCGCAGACGGTCTACCGCAACTACCAAAAGGTGACGCTTCAAGAGACGCCCGGGACGGTGCCGCCGGGACGGCTGCCGCGGTACAAGGAAGTTGTCCTCCTGTGGGACCTCATCGACTCGGTGCGGCCGGGCGAGGAGATCGAGGTGACAGGCGTTTACAAGAACACGTACGACTTTGGGCTCAACGTCAAGAACGGGTTCCCGGTCTTTGCCACGGTCCTCGAAGCCAACTACATTTCGACCAAGGACGACCAGTACCAGGCGTTCCGGCTCACCGACGAGGACGTGGCACAAATCCGCAAGCTCGGCTCGGACGAGCGGATCGGAGAGAAGATCATCAACTCGATTGCGCCTTCGATCTACGGCCACCGTGACATCAAGACGGCGCTGGCGCTGCTGCTGTTTGGCGGCGAGCCGAAGGAGGTCTCCAAGCACCGGATGCGTGGCGACATCAACGTGCTGCTGATGGGTGATCCCGGAACCGCCAAGTCGCAGTTCCTCAAGTACGTGGAGAAAACAGCCCATCGGGCGGTGTTCACCACCGGGCAGGGCGCGTCCGCGGTCGGTCTCACCGCCGCTGTCCGCCGCGACCCGATCACGTCCGAGTGGACGCTCGAGGGCGGCGCTCTAGTCCTTGCCGACCGCGGCGTGTGCCTCATCGACGAGTTTGACAAGATGAACGACCAAGATCGGACGTCGATCCACGAGGCCATGGAGCAGCAGTCGATCTCCGTCTCCAAGGCTGGCATTGTCACGTCGCTGCAGGCGCGGTGCTCCATTGTGGCGGCGGCAAACCCGGTCAAGGGCCGGTACGACCCGTCGCTGCCATTCAACGCCAACGTTGACCTGACCGAGCCCATTCTCTCGCGGTTCGACATCCTGTGCGTGGTGCGCGACACGGTGGATCCTGTGCAGGACAACCGGCTCGCGTCGTTCATTGTCGGCTCGCACATGGACAACCATCCCGACGTCGTCGTCGACATGGCTGAGGAGGAGGAGGTCACCGAGGCCGCCATCTCGCAGGACATGCTCCGCAAGTACATCATGTACGCCAAGCAGCACATCCACCCCAAGGCCGCAAGCATCGACGACGAAAAGGTGACCAAGCTCTACGCCCGCCTCCGTGCAGAGTCGGTCAAGTCGGGCGGCATTGCCCTCACCGTCCGCCACATCGAGTCCATCATCCGCATGGCCGAGGCCCACGCTAAGATGCACCTCCGCCAGTCGGTCCGTGACGACGACATCAACGTCGCCGTCCGCGTCATGCTCGAGTCGTTCATCGGCGCTCAAAAGTACCAGATCAAGGAGTCGCTCCGCAAGAAGTTTGCCCGCTTCATTGCCTACAAGCGCGACAACAACGAGCTGCTCTTCTACATTCTGCAGAATCTCGTCCGCGACACCGTCGCCTTTCTGCAGATCAAGCACGGCGACGCTGCCCCCAACGTTGTCGAGATCCAGATGGAGGAGTTCCAGGCCAAGGCCAACGAGCTCCGTGTCTACGACCTTGCTCCCTTCTTCTCCTCGCCCATGTTTATCGACAACGGCTTTGAGGTCTCTCCCAACGGCTCCTCCATCCGCAAGATGCTGTAACGCGCGCACTTGTGTGGCTGTGCGACATGATAAATAAGCTTTCCTGCTCCTCCGCCTGCGCGTGGGCGCCTGAAGATTGCGCGGTGGTGGGCGCGTTTCGTGCGTTGTGGCAAGAGCTGTCGCACACCTTCGAAAGGGCTCCAAAGCCGATCCGCCACAACCTCCTCCTCTCCACCTCCCCCAATACGCACACCAACCTCACCCGGTCACACCCAACGCAGCCACACCATGTCGAGAGTGGCACTTGAGCGGTTTGCACCGCGACTCTCTCACCGTCTGCGTGTAGAGACGACACCGTACGGAGCGACCTTTGCGCTGACTGCTGCTGCCGAGCGAGCGTATGCTGTGGTCACCTCGCGACGGAATGGTGGCGGTAGTGGTGGAAGCCGAGCCGGTGGCAGCAACAGTGGCATGCGAGCGGCGACGGCTGCCGAGTGGCCGGAAATGGCAAAGTCGATCAAGAGAGAACCAGATGCAGAGACGAGAGATCGTATGCGGAGGCTGTTCTCGCGCCTGGTAGCGATGGTTGCAGAGCTGGCGCCGACTCCACCCGATGGCTCATCGCCAGATGCTGCTGCTGTGGCTATGGCCAAGGAGCTGTTTGATGCTCTTGCGCCCGACGAGGACGAGCTGGCAGCAGGTAGAAAGGAGGCCAAGGCCAAGATTGCGGTCAAGAAGGAGCGGGCCGAGGCTGCGGCAGCAGCCCGGTTTGCAGACAGCGATGCCGATCCTGAGCAGGTCGCTGCAGCCGTCGCCGACGCCGGACGCAAGATCGAAGAGATTGTCGCTCGCCGTCCGTTTGTCCTTGATCAAGAGACAAAGGTGGCACAGCGGAAGGTGCTTGCCGAGCTTATTGGTCGCGAGGTCGAGACTGCTCTCGCCACGGAGCTCTCAGTTGTCGCGCGCAAGCTCGCACTCTGGATTGCTGACGTTCGCGACGTGTACTACGGTTCCATGACCAAGGCCGAGATCCGGGCCGAAGCCGAGGCCGAGACCCGGGCCAAGATGGCGGCGGCGCGCGCCCAAGAGCCGTTTGGCTCGGGCGTGGCCATCGATGCCGCCGTACTCCCACCGCTCACTCCGCTGCCGCTCCACAAGGCACGGTATCCGCGGAGCGAGGTTCGACCCGAGCCTGTGCGGTCCTCCGCGCCTGCGCCTGCGAGGGCGGCAGCGAGAGAGTCGGACGCGCGGGCTGTTGCTGCTTCTGCCAGCTCCATGGCAGGCGCCCCGGCCGGCAAGGACGCGGCGTGGCTCCGCGAGCAGTGCGCGCGCGTGGCAGCTGCCAACGACGTCGGGACCAGTGGCGACGAGCTGGCAATGGCGGTCCACGAGGTGCTGGCCAAGAACAACGACGCCACAGCGCTCCAGTCGCACCTTTTTGAACTGCTCGGCATGAACGGGCTCGACCTCATTCCGGAGCTGATCGGCTCGCGCGATGAGCTCGTTGCCAACTGGCTGAGCATGGAAGAGTCGGACGCGGCGCTTGCTGCGCGACTTGATGCCATGGATGCGGCGGTGGCAGCTGACGCGGCGGTGTTTGACCTTGCGGGCCTGACTGGTGGGAGCAACAACCCGCACGGTGCTGGGTTTACCATCACATCGGCAGCGGCCAAGGCGGCGGCGAAGGAGCGGCGACGGATTGAGCGGCGGCGGACGCGGCAGGCGGAGAGCAACGCGAACAGCTTGGGCGGCAGCGGCGGGGTCAGCTCCAAGGCGTACACGGCCGAGGCGATCGAGGCGCGGCGGCAAGCCAAGCTTGCGGCGGCGCGGGCGCGGCCGGCGATTTCGGGCTCAGGCTCGCTGGTCGGCGCGGCGCCCGTCAACCGCGGGATGCCCTCGAACGCGACGGAGGAGAAAACCAAGGAGTACAGGCGGGTGCACGTTCCGGCAGCACGTGCGAGCCCGCCTGGTGCGGGCGAGCGGCTGATTCCGATTTCCGAGTTTGAGCCGTGGGCCCGGCTGGCGTTCAAGGGCTACAAGTCGCTCAACCGCATTCAGTCTGCGGTGTTTGAGGCGGCGTATCGGCGCAACGAGAACTTGCTCATTTGTGCGCCGACCGGCGCCGGTAAGACCAACGTGGCGCTGATGACGATTCTGCACCAGGTCGGGGTGCACATGGACGACGCTGGCGTCATTCGGCGAGCCAACTTTAAGATTGTGTACGTGGCGCCGATGAAGGCGCTGGCGTCCGAGGTGGTGGCGTCGTTCTCGAAGCGGCTCCGCCCATTGGGGCTTGTCGTCAAGGAGCTGACGGGCGACATGCAGCTGACCCGGCGCGAGCTGATGGAGACGCAGATGATTGTGACGACGCCCGAAAAATGGGACGTCATCACGCGCAAGTCGGGTGACATGGCGCTGACGGCGCTGGTCAAGCTCCTCATCTTTGACGAAGTGCATCTGCTGCACGACGACCGTGGCCCAGTCATCGAGTCGCTGGTGGCGCGGTCGCTGCGGCAAGTCGAGGCGACGCAGTCGATGATCCGCATCGTCGGTCTCTCGGCAACGCTGCCCAACTACAAGGACGTGGCGCACTTTCTGGGCGTCAACGAGCGCACAGGCCTGTTCCACTTTGACGCGTCGTACCGGCCGGTCCCGCTCGAGCAGACGTTCATTGGGGTGCGGGAGAAGGACCGCTTCAGGTCGGTGCGGATTATGAACCGCATTGCGTACGAAGAGGCGCACGCAGCGGTGGCGGCCGGCTTCCAGGTCCTCGTCTTTGTCCACGCCCGCAAGGACACGTTCAACACGGCTGAGGCCATGATCAACGAGGCGGCTCGGGCAGGGACGAGCGAGGTCTTCCTCCCAGCCGAGACGCAGGCAGTCCGGGAGATGGCGAAGCGGGTCTCCAAATCGAAGAATGCGCAACTGCAGGAGCTGTTCAGCCACGGGTTTGGGTGCCACCACGCCGGCATGCTGCGGCCCGACCGCAACCTGGCGGAGAAGCTGTTTGAGGGCGGGTTCATCAAGGTCATGACGTGCACGGCGACGCTTGCGTGGGGTGTGAACTTGCCGGCGCAGACGGTGATTATCAAGGGCACACAGGTGTACAACGCCGATGCAGGTGGCTTCCGGCCGCTATCGATGCTGGATGTGAATCAGATTTTCGGACGGGCTGGCCGGCCGCAGTACGAGGCGACCGGCTCTGCCATCATGATCACTTCCTCTGATGAGATGCCAGACTACCTGCGCAAGCTCACGCACCAGCTCCCGATCGAGTCGCGGTTCATGGAGCGGCTGCCGACGAATCTCAACGCCGAGATTGTGCTCGGGACGGTGACCAACGTGGCCGAAGCCATTTCGTGGCTGCGGTACACGTATCTGTACGTGCGGATGATCCGCAACCCGCTGGTGTACGGCATTCCGCACGAGGATCTGCTCGCGGACCCGAGCCTGTTCCTGCGGATGGAGCAGCTGATTGTGGACGCGGCGCGGCGGCTGGACGCGTGCCGAATGATCCGGTATGACGAGCGGACGACCAACTTTTATGTCACTGACTACGGGCGGACGGCATCACACTACTACATCGAGTGTGCGTCGATGGAGCATGTGAACAAGGCGCTGCGCCCGGGCCTCGACCTCCCGGCCGTCCTTGTGCTCCTCGCCAAGTGTGCCGAGTTTGAGCAGATCAAGGTGCGGGCGGACGAGGCCGGTGAGCTAGCGACGCTCGCCGCAAAGTTCTGCCCGGTCAAGCTTCCGCGCGGACTTGCAAAGGACGACCCGACGTTCAAGGTCCTTGTCCTGCTGCAGACGCATATTTCCGGCGGGCGCCCGCGGACGTTCTCGCTTATCTCAGACACGTACTACGTGACGCAGAACGGATCGAGGCTGGTCCGCGGCCTGTTTGACATGTCGCTCAAGCGTGGTTTTGTTGACCTCGCCGACATGTTCCTCACCCTCGGCAAGTCGATTGAGAAGCGGCTGTGGGTGAGCGACCACCCGCTGCGGCAGTTCCGCCAGCTCCGCGACGACGTGGTGCAGCGACTGGAGGAGACCGAGCTTGGGCTTGATGCGCTGGCGGACATGGGCGCGGCCGAGATTGGCGCCATGATCCACATGCACAACGCTGGCGCGGCGGTGGCACGGGCAGTGGGCCAGTTCCCGCACCTTGCGCTGGAGGCGAGTGTCCATCCGGTCACCGCCTCGATTCTCCGGGTCAAGCTCTTCATCACGCCGGCGTTCCAGTGGGCTGACCGCGTCCATGGCGGGCTGAGCCGCTGGTGGATCTGGGTCCAGGACGCAGACTCGTCGCACATCTACCACTCGGAGATGTGGGCGCTTGACAAGCGGCGGGCGAGCGCGGGCGAGACAGCGGAGCTCGAGTTTACTGTCCCTCTCGTCGAGCCGCGGCCGTCGCAGTACTTTGTGCGGGCCATTTCAGACGACTGGCTCGGCGCTGAGGTCTACCTCCCGCTTGAGCTCGACGGGTTGGTCCTTCCGGACCGACGGCCGCCGCACACACCGCTGCTAGATCTTGTGCCGCTCGCGACCAGCGCACTGAGCAACCTGGCCTTCGAGGCGCTGTACCCGTTCTCGCACTTTAACCCGATCCAGACGCAGGCCTTCCACACGCTCTACCACACCGACACCAACGTACTGTTAGGCGCACCGACCGGGTCGGGCAAGACGATCTGCGCAGAGCTGGCGATGCTGCGGCTGTTTTCGACGGCGCCCAACGCGACGGTTGTGTACGTGGCACCGCTCAAGGCGCTTGTCCGGGAGCGGATGGTGGCATGGCGCAAGGGCCTCTGCTCTAAGCTCGGCAAGAGCATTGTGGAGCTGACCGGCGACGTGACACCCGACGCGCGGTCGCTGGCGCGGGCAGACATTGTCATCACCACGCCGGAAAAGTGGGACGGCGTGTCGCGGAACTGGAAGCAGCGGCCGTACGTGCGCAAGGTCGGACTTGTGGTCATCGACGAGATCCATTTGCTCGGGGCGGACCGCGGGCCTATTCTCGAGGTCATTGTCTCACGGATGAACTACATTGCGCAGCAGACGTCGGCGGCGATCCGGATTGTGGGCCTCTCAACGGCTCTGGCCAACGCAACCGACCTCGCTGACTGGCTCGGGATCGAGCACAACGCAGGGTTGTACAACTTTCGGCCGAGCGTGCGGCCGGTTCCGCTCGAGGTGCACATTGCTGGCTTCCCGGGCAAGCATTACTGCCCGCGGATGGCGACGATGAACAAGCCGACCTACGACGCCATCATGACGCACTCGCCGTCTGCGCCGGCGCTGGTCTTTGTCTCGTCGCGGCGGCAAACGCGGCTGACAGCACAGGCGCTGATCTCGGCGTGCGCGTCGGCGGCTAACCCGCATCAGTTCCTCGGCAAGCCGTTTGATGAGATGGAGGCTGTGGCTGAGTTGGTTTACGACTCTGCGCTCGCGTCGTGCCTGCGGTACGGAATCGGCATGCACCACGCTGGGCTCAAGCGGTCCGACAAGGACATTGTGGAGCAGCTCTTTGCTGACGGTTCGATCCAGGTCCTTGTGTCGACGTCGACGCTGGCTTGGGCGTCAACCTGCCGGCACATCTGGTCGTCATCAAGGGCACGCAGTTCTATGACGCCAAGGTCGGCCGGTACGTCGACTTTCCCATCACAGACGTGCTGCAGATGATGGGCCGGGCCGGGCGGCCGCAGTTTGACACCTCGGGCATAGCAGTGGTCCTCGTGGCCGAGTCGAAGAAGAACTTTTACAAGAAGTTCCTCTACGAGCCGTTCCCAGTCGAGTCGTCGCTCCTCACCCAGCTCCACGACCACCTCAACGCCGAGGTTGTGGGCGGGACGATTTCGAGCCCGCAGGACGCGATGGACTATCTGACGTGGACGTTCCTGTTCCGGCGGCTTGCGGCAAACCCGTCGTACTACGGACTTGAGGACACGTCCGAGGAGGGCATGGCGGCGTTCCTCTCGGACGTGGTGGCGCGGCATCTCGACGAGCTCGAAGAGGCGCAGTGCGTGGCGCTGAGTGAGCTGGACAACGGCGAGTCGCTGGTCGAAGCGACACCGCTGGGCCGCATTGCCTCGTACTACTACCTGCACTACACCACCATGGGCCATCTCGCCGAGGCTATCACCGACAGCGTTAGCATGGACGAGGCAGCGTCGATCCTTGCCGACGCCACCGAGTTTGCCGAGCTCCCGGTGCGGCACAACGAGGACGCGCTCAATGCCGAGCTGGCCAAGGACCTTCCGTGGCCGACCGAGGGCTACGAGTGGGACGACCCACATGCCAAGGCGTTCATCCTTCTGCAGGCACACATGGGCGGGTTCCCGCTCCCGATCTCCGACTACATTACCGACCTCAAATCGATTCTTGACCAATCGGCCCGGGTGCTGCAGGCCATGGTCGACGTCGCAGCCCAGGCCGGGTACCTAGCGACGGCTCTGACGACGATGCGCCTCGCACAGGGCATTGTCCAGGCACGATTCCCGCACGACTCGTCGCTTCTCCAGCTCCCAGGCGTCAAGCCTTCGGCGGTGGAGAGCGGGCCGGCCAGGTGCATGACCATGGGCCAGCTACAGGCGCTGTCGGGCGACGCGCTCACCGCACGACTGCAGGAGCTCGGACTCGGCGGCGGCAAGCTCAAGGAGGCACGCCGTGTGGTGTCGGCATACCTGCCCAAGGTCGCGGTCAAGGCGTGGATCAAGGCCGGCGGCAAGAAGCGCGGCAAGGGCGGGTCCGGGCGGGTCGGCGTCGACAGCCTCGCCAAGCTCAAGGTCTCGATCTCGATGGCGCCGCGGTCCAAGCGCAACGCCAACAAGGCGTATGCGCCGCGGTTCCCGCGACCGGTCCGCGAGGGCTGGTGGATTGTGGTCGGGCTCGACGACGAGATCCTTGCCCTCAAGCGTGTCGGCGGTCTCCGACACAAGCTCGCCACCGAGCTCGAGTTCTACACGCCTGACGTCCCGGGTGACTACACCCTCACGGTCCACCTTGTCTCGGACTGCTACATGGGACTCGATCAGTGCGTCGAGGTCAGCATGGTTGTCGCGTAAAGCCAATCGATGGGTGGAGGTGGTGAGGGGGGCAAGAGCGAGGAGGAGGAGGAGGGGCACTTGACGCCATGGGCAACAGCGGAGGTCGCGAGGCCCAGGTGGGTGGCAGGGCAAGGGCGACGAGCAGTGGAAGCGGGAGGCGAGGAGAAGGAGAAGGAGAAGGAGGAGGGGATGCCTTTACCATGCTCTGTACCAACTGTGGTGACCGTGTGGCGCTCGACGAGGTAGAGGCCCATTCGGGTGTGTGCTCGGCCTTGTGGGTCCGAGTCGATGCCAAGGGCAAGAGCAGGGTTAAGTCCAAGGACAAGGGCAAGGGCAAGGGTAAGGGCAAGGGCAAAGGTGGCGGCGGCGGCGGTGGTGGTGGTGGTGGTGGTGGTGGTGGGTTCTGCGCCTGGCAGTCGAGGCTGACGAGGCTGGTATCGATGTCCGCGGAAGCAAGGCGAACAATGCGCTGGCGACGGTGGGATCGGTGGCGGCGGGATCGATGGCGGCGGCGGGATCGGTGATGGCGGCAAGGGAAGGGGGCGGTGGCGGTTGGCATGACGCATCGCTGTCCGAGGACGGAACAGAGTCCGAGTCGGTGACGACGGGGACAGCGACTGCGACGGGGGCGGGGAGAGGGGGTAGGTGGGACGCCAGGAGGCGATCGTCCCTGGGGTATGTCTCGGTGGGCGGGTCTGGGGCTTTTGGCTCGCGACAGACTCGGATGAGTGCAAGTAGGCAGCTGGAGGCGGTGCACGAGGTGGCGTCAGCGGACGGACGGGTTAGGTTTCGCGACTCTGAGTCGTCGGGCACGGGGACGGTGACCGAGACCGGGACCGGGACGGCTGATATGATGGCAAGCCTCATGGGGCGGAGGAACAGAACGATGTTCGAGACGTCGGCAGTGGATGACGCACGCGGTGGCCGCGAGGTCGGGGTGACGGCAGCACGTGCGGCCGAGCTGATTGACGAGGCGCTGGGCGGGCGGAGTCGTGGCATGGCGCCACTGTCGCGCGAAGACGTCTCACGGGTCCTGCATCTCACGCAAATGCCACGGGAAGAGATTGACGAGTGCGTCTCCGAGCTGTTTCGGGACGGACCCGGCGGGGCGACCCGGACGCGGCTGCGAGAGCTGGTGATGAGGCACACGCCGGACCTCCTCAGCGCCGGCACACTGCAGGTTGTGGTCGAGGCCATCATCGCAGAGACAGGAATGACGACTCAGCAGCGGCTGGAGCCGATCTGGAGAGCACTGGCGCCGCTCGGAGCCGGTGAGCTGGCGTCGCAGCGTGTGCCACGGGAGGTGGTGGCTGCGGTGATGCAGCCGCTCGGCGTGACCACCGAGCTCGACGACGCCGAGTTGCCACGGTCGGTGGCGGCACTACGGGCCATGGTCCACGACGTGTTGGCTTATACCGATAGCATGGCGCTCGACGCGCTGGAGAGCGCGCTGCCAAGCATCCAGACTGCGGTCGACGGTGCGATCCGCGCGGCAGCAAAGCTCGCGAGTGAGGCCAAGGCGTCGGCGTTGCTGCAGATGTTCGACACCCGCGGGCGGATCAACGGAATCATGGAGCGGCTGCGAAGCCAGGCTGTCGATGGGTGCATGACCGCGGCTGATGCAGCAGCCATGGCACGTGCACTGGGCTCTGAGCCAGCAGACGAGTACGAGGCTGAGATGTGCAAGCTCCACATTGTGGAGGACTCACTGCTGGCGCTGCTCGAGTGGGAGAGTGAGGTCGACGCACAGCTCGACGCCATCGAGGCTGCGCTCAGCATGACCAATGCCAGCTAAACGATTGGCCGTGGCACTTTTGGTGCGAGTGGAGGTGTGACGAGTGAGCAAGCGTGCCTTGCGCCCGTGCAGTCGCTCTCGCGAGAGTGGACGTCCACTCGTCTGACGTCGCCGTAGCAAAACCATGGTACGAAGCGAGGCAGAGTCGGAGAAAGGACAAACCGCTAGTGCAAAGCGATTGCACTGCAGGAACAGGCTGGAGGAGGGAGCATGCGGTTAGGGCTGTGGCGTTGCGTGTGATAGGGGAGGTCGCCGGCGGGTGGGTCTGGCGAAAAGAATTCGCTTTCAGGCGAAATCGGTCGTTGGTCGCCAACAGGCGGCGGCGTTGAGGGGGTGTGCGTCGAAGAGCAACTGGCATGGAGAGGGCTTCTAGGGCGAAGGACTTACATAGGGTGGTGGGGTATGTATGCATGTGGGCGCGCAGTCTGACATTCGCTCCGAGCGTGAGATCAAGGAGGTAAGAAGGGGGGGGGGAGGAAGGCTCGTTTTTCGCGGGCACTCGAATTCTCCCGTAACGAGGCTTTAGTGGGCACCTGTCACGGGCGTGCATTGGGCGGAGACTCACTGGGAGCAATGTGGGTTTTGGGTGCGAACGTATGTAGGTCTTTGATCTCTTTGACCGCAAGAACAACGGCCGTGTCGCGCCCGAGGATCTTGGGACTTGCCTCCGGTGCCTTGGACAGAAGTAAGTTTGTGAGGTGTAGAGACCATGATGGGAGAATGGGTAGAGAAGAGGCGTTTACTTACGAGATGCAACGGTGGATAGCCCGACGGTCAAGGAGCTTGACGACGTGATGGCGACGCAGAACTCTGCGCTCGACTATGCGGCGTTCAAGGCGGTGTACATGCGGCCGCGCGAGCCGGAGCCGTCGTTTGAGCAGCTTGTGGAGGTGTTCCGCGTCTCGGACCCGCACCGGACAGGGACAATCAACAAGAACGAGCTCCAGCGGATGCTCATGCACATCGGCGACAAGTTCTCGCTCGAGGAGTTCAACATGCTGATGAAGAAGGCCGACGAGCAGGACGGCGAGGTCGACTACGAGTCGCTCATCCGCAAGATGCAGCGCTGAACGTGACCTGCGCGCCGTCGCCTTGCAACTAAACCTTACTGCTCTTCCCTTTGCTCGCACCAGCGCTCTCTGTGTGGGCGAGGAGATAGTGGGCAAGCCACGCGACCGGGTTGTGCGGGCGGACGGCCTCCATCTCAGCGAGCGCCTCGCGGAGCAGCGGCGAGACGACATTGGTCAGCACATCGTTCATGTCTGCCTCGGACATGGCGCCATCCTTGGCTGAAACGGGCCTAGGTGGATGAGCCACCGTGTCCGAGTCAGGCACCGAGTGCGGGGAAAGCGGCCTGCGAGCCTCAGCCGAGTCCTCCGGCGATGCAGAGTCTGATGAGACCGACGGAGCATCCGGCGAATGCGAGGGATGCGATTCGGCCGATGACGACGACGACGACGACGACGACGACGACGAAGGCTGGTCCTCATAAGATGAGCCCGAGTACGAATACTCCGAGTCTTCACGATCATCATGCGAGCGGACACGAGTATGGCGGGTGTGGACTCGGGGATGAGTCGGTTGGAGGCCAGAGGCGACTGCAATGGGCCTCATCTCTGCGTTGGACAACTGCCGCTTGAAGGCCGACGGCGGTGCCGACGGACCATCTCCGCGCGGCATGATGGCTAAACAAGCGGTGACTTTGGTACTTGGTGGAAGGAAAGGGTAGCGTAAACGGTAAAGTCTCTCAGCTATGAGAGCGGTGGCTCTCAGTAGAGTCCCGTTCTCGTCGTCGCTTCCTCCGCCACCCCCCCCCCCTTTGTGGTGGTGGAGCCCTTTCCCCGCAAACAGGCACCAACCACCGAACGAATCGTTCGAATCATTGCTGGCGAGCCACTCGCCACTGGCGAGTCACTCGCCACCGGCCGATGAATGATAGCTGAACAAGGAGGTCGCCGATAGGGTGGAAACATCGAGAGCCATATGAAGGTATTGAGTGATATCGACTTGGAGGATGCGGAGGGGTTGGGCCGCGCCTTGGTGTGATGCCATTGAGATCGGTTGCGGGTGTCTTGTCGGTGAGCGCGGGGCTGGTTGTTTGTAGCAAGCTGGGATCCTGTACCCATCGGGCGGAGGAGAGGAAGTGTTACAGCAGGGAGCAGCGGTGCCGGAGCTGGGGACGAGAAGCGGCGGCGTGTGCTTCTCTGGCAGCGTCGATGCTGCGAATGAGAGTGACAAAGGCGAGGTCGACGCCATGGCGAGTCTTGGCCGACGTTTCGACAAATGGCACGCGGAGAGCAGCGGCCTTGGCGTGACCCTCATCGGACGAGACTACAGCAGGGTCAACGTCGGTCTTGGTGGCCACTATGACAATTTCTCTCGGCCGGCCATCGATGAGCGGCTCGGGATGGCTGCGGACAGCAGCGATGATCTCGTCGAGGGCATCAAACGAGGTGCGATCATCGACAGCGTAGAGACAGAGGATGCCATGGGCATGGACATCGGGCGAGTAGAATATGCTCGACTCGCGGTCGAGAACATCAACAGCATCGAGAATGGTGATGCAGTTGGGGACGTTGTCGATGACGGGTGACTTGCGGTAGACCTCGTCGTGGATGAGCTCGGCGAGTTGGCTCGGCTCGGGAAACTGGTGGTAGGCATACGAGACAAGCAGCGAAGTCTTGCCCACCCTCGGTGGACCCACTATGGCTATATGCGGCTGACGGATGGCATATGGCGTGCTCGAGTCTGCTGCTGCCATGAGAAGTGGCAGCGTAGGGATATGTGAGTGAGCTGGGCTTTGCTCGGCGATGAGCTGGGCGACAAAGGCTGTGCGTGTGTGGTCTTGCTGCGTTTACACAACAGGAGTTAGTAGAGCGGCTCGGGCTCGGCGTCAACACCGGCCTCGGTCATGGCGCGGAGCTTCTCCTCCTCGCGCTGGGCGGGAGTCTTGTCGTGCTCGGCGTGGTGTGCCGCAGTGGCAGCGTGCAGCGAGCTGGCCGAGGTGGCGATGGCGGCGCGCTCGGCCTGGGACAGCTGGCGAGCCATGGTCGCGGGGTTGCCCTCCCAGTACTCGCCCTTGCGGACGACGGCGTTGGCCGGGACGGTGGCGCCGTCGGCGACGACGGCGTGGGTCTCGACGATGGCGCCGGCACCGACGGTAGCGCCGGCGCCGATGGCGCACTCGTCGTGGAGAGTGGCAGCGTTGACGACGGCGCCCGGGCCGACGACGACCGACTCGCCGATGACGACGTCTGCGTCCGAGTGGCCAAAGTTGCCGACGACAGCGTTGTGGCCGATGGACGAGCCCTTGCCGATGGTCACCTTGCCGGCGTCACCGCGGACGACGGCATTGTACCACACCGAAGCAGCATCGCCGACCTCCACCGCGCCGATGACAGCCGCCGACGGCGCCACAAACGAGTTGTTGCCAGCAGTCGGCGCAACCTCATTAACAGCCATCATCCGACGATGGCGGGAGACCTTGTCCACAACAGCAGCCTCACCCTCGAGCGAGAGACCGAGCCGGCTCATTGCCTACACGCCATGACGAGGGCCGATGACGGCGACGATGACGATGACGATGACGGCGACGATGACGATGACGATGACGATGACGATGACAACAGCGATGATGACGATTCATGTCAGCCGCCCAAAGACGAGCACAGCATCCGATATGTGAGTATGATCCGTGCTCTCGGGCACCGGTGCAGAACAGACTTTGCCAAGGTGGAAAGGAGGCAGAGAATACGGCTGGTGCAGGCAGTGGAGTGTATGTGTGTGTGTGTGTGGGGAGGGTGTGTGTGTGTGTGTGGGGAGGGGTGGGTAGGCGGCGAGCGGGTTGGCGGGCGGCGAGCGACGGGCGGCGGGCGACGGGGCATCCACCAGCCGGCGGGGGGGGGAGGTAGATTGAGATGCGGGCATAGGGGAGAAGGGATGTGATACTCTCTAAGAAAACCACATGTGTATGTGCAGGAGGTACTACAAAAGGTATGTGTGGTGTATGGGGGAAGAGGTGGGACGGTGTGGGTGTAGGAGCAGCTGGTGGGGAGGTGGGGCTATGGCCATGGTCTCCCATTTTTTGGGGGAAGGGGGAGGGGGGGAGGCAGGGCAATGCGGTGGGAGCGGCCACCGCGCGCGGCTGCCTTCAGCGACGACGGGCAAGGCCAAATGTGGTTGGGAGGGAGTTAAGAGCTGGAGTTACAGTTCCAGACATCTCTGCAGTATATGTGATGGGAAGGGGAGGAGGGAGGGGAGGGGAGAAGACGTACAGACGCAGTGTCGCGCAGGGCACGTCCCACAGCACGGAGCATGTTGGTGTTCGAGTCGAGTGTGGCTTGCTGTCCGATCCATTAATCCAACGTGGTCGTATTGATTATGTCTCTCGCGGGCCAAGGGGGGGGGGGCGGGCGCATGCCACTCGCCGCCGCAGATAATCGGTCTCGGTCTGCCTCGCTTCATGATCCGATGCTGCCATTGTCTTGCATATAGTAACCAATGGCTTGGGTCATTACTTTGGTGTGGCGTGTGCGATGATCGGAGACTGGGGGGGGGGGGGGCGTGTGGCGGGAGTGCAGGCTGTGGGTTGAGCGGCGGCGAGCACTCGGCAGCGGCTCGATCGGGTTGGATATGGCAAGGAGAAGAAGCAACAACACCTTGCATTGACCCAAGATGAGGCCAATGTGCTCCTCTATAGGCGTCCGCGTGGCCAGCAGTGTATCGTGCATCTGCAGCTGGCTTGTCCGAGTGGGTCGAGTCCGGGGGGGGGGGGGGGGGGAGGGGGCGAAATTAACCGCTGTCGTTGCCACAATGGGCAATAACCCTTAGGCATGCCGCGGTGATGAGCTCGATGTACGTTGCTATGTGGTGGGATGGCACAGAGTCACATGCCTTTATGCTATGATGACTTGATTCTACGTGCTTCGCACCCCAGGTGGGAGGTTGGTGCCGGCGGCTAGCGGCCAGCGTCGGTTGTGACAAGCACTTCACTTGCCACACGCCCACCATGTCTGACTCGTCGGGCTCTCTGGACGGGCTCTGGTGGGTCGGCATTCTCATGTCTGCAGGAGCTCAGCTTGCAGGAGTTGTGGGCAATCAGTTCATCAAGCATGCTCATAGACAGAATGAGTCACTTCCTGTCGAGCGGCGTATCAAACAAACAAGGGTATGTTGTTCCATGTCCTCTCCATCGTCATTTGGTTGTGTGATGTGGCGCCAGAGTGCGGCGAAAGTGGGCGTTTGTCATTATTGCTTTTATCCGCTTTCCGCCCATCGAATCAAATGGGCCGATTGGCCATTGGCCAGCGACGACGCGGGCGCGGGGTCGCGTTTGGTGGCTGTACGGCGACATGGCGAGGCCTCGTACGTGAGCATGCGAACAGTATCAAACATGCAAACAGCAGAGGGCATAGTATAGCATGAGTTGTTGCCCATGATGAACTTGGTGTTACTATGGGTGACAGCTAGCTTCGAGTTGGTGGGGGCTTGCCCTTCCCCGGCTGACCAGCCGCCACCTGGATTGGTGACCGCAACCGACCTTGCAACGTTCAGGTGCTTGCACTCACACTCCCACCGTCAATACTGAACGTTCCGCCGTCTCTCACACACGGTCATCCTTGCTGTATACGACTACGGCCGTGTGCGTGGTTGTGGCGTGTGACTTTGTCGTTTTTTCCTCCTTTTCCCCGTCTCGGCTCTCGGCCTCCACTTCTTCCGCGTTGCTCCGCATGCCGACGGAATTGACCCGTCGCCGGATGGGCTCGTCGCCTTCTTTGCACCCTCCCGTTTCCCTCCACCCCTTGTGGCCGGAATCACTGTCTGGAATGGCATGGCACGGCCAACTTCTGGGTACCTGCTTGGTGGGCGGTGGATGGTGCCGCTGCTTGGTGTGCGATTTGCTTGTCGAATCACTGGCTGGCTGACGATCTCGACGTGGACACTCTGTCTTGTTGCCGGTTTCTTTCGGTGGCCTTGTTTGGTTCCTGGTATCCTCTGGATGTGATGTGTGCGTCAAATGTGGCGGTGGTGGCTGGGTGTGGGTGGACAGCAACCATTCTGGATCATGGGCATTCTGCTGATCACGCTCATCAACACGACACTCAATCTTGCGGCGTACGCGTTTGCGGCGCAATCGCTGCTAGCATCTGTGGGCTCGCTGGCGCTGCTGTGGAACCTGCTTGTCTCCAAGTTTTTCCTCCGCGAAGAGCCGGACAAGTTCGACTACATCGGTACGGGAATTTCTATGGTGGGCGTGACGGTTGCGACGGTGTTTGGCCCGCACCGGACGAACGACTACACCATTTCTAAGCTTATTGACTTGTACACGCGAGCGCTGTTTATTGTGTTTATCATTCTTGACGCGGTCTTTATCGCCTTTCTCTTCCTTGCTGCGCGGCGCAATGTGCCGTTCCGGCGGCTGGCGTCTGCGGCGCTGCCGGGCATGATTGCCGGCCTCACGGCGCTGTTTTCCAAGTCTGCGGTGGAGCTGGTCAAGTCTGCAGCCATCGGCGGGACCGACTTTCAGCACCCAGTCACGTACCTCATCATCATTGCAGCGATTGTGGCGGCTGTCTCACAGCTCAAGTTTCTCAACAAGACGCTGCAGGACTACGATCCGCTTGTGACAGTTCCGGTGTACAACGCGTTCATGCTGCTCTCGGGCGCGCTCTCAGGCATTGTGTACTTTGAAGAGTACAAGGACCTCGACACGCTCGACTACTTTCTCTTTCCGATCGGTGTGGGCATCATGCTCGGCGCGCTTGTTTTCTTCGCCAAGCGGCCGATCGGCGACTCACAGATCATCGTCGACGACGAGCCATCGGCTGGTCCGGGCTCGACCGGCGACGACCCCGAGGCTGCGACTGGAAAGGAGGGCTCGATTTCCAAGCTCCGTGACATTGCTGTCGACGGGGTCTCGTCGGGCGAGCCGTCGTGCTACACTGACGACGACGAGTACTACTCGGGCGACGACGCGTCGTACTCGCATACGCGTGGAGCCAGCCGCGGCTCGCGCAATGTGCGGCCAGCGGACCACGCGGCGTCGCGGCGTGGCCGCGGCGACGCCGGCTCTGCGGCGTCGCGCACGTCGCCGGCGCGGCGGGCGAGGTCTCCTCTCACTGGAGGCTCGTCGGTGGCCTCGCTCTCTGGCAGCGCGCCGGCGCTGGTGGTGCCTGCGCCTGCGCCGTCGCCGGCGGCACGGCAACGGCGACGTGCACGGAGCCGGCGGACGCCTGGAAGTGGGGCGCTCTCACCAGGCGCGTCGTCGCTAGCGCGGTCGACGCCCGGCGGCGTCTCGACCTCGATCTGGTCGTCGGACGACTGTCTGACCGGCGCCGGATCGACTCACACGTCGGCGACGACGCCGGCGCTGTCGGCATCAAACCCGACTACGGCGCTTCCGCCCAAGACCTTTACGTTTACGCCCAAGCCTGCGGCGGGAAGCTCGGCTGTTACCGAGGCCTTTTCAACGTCGCTCGACTTTGGCACTCGTTGCTTGCCGTCGTCGTCCGGCTCGAGTGCCGGGCTCGGGACCGACTCGGACGAGCCTGCACCTGGGGAGTCTATCTACGCCCGCCGCCACACGCGGCGCGAGTCACACGAGCAGGAGGAGGCGGTCTCTGTCTCCACGTGCACTCGCTCGTCAGCACACTCGCTTCCTTCGCTCTCATCCAGCTACACGTACTCGTCGTCGTCGCAGTCTCGGACGCCCAACACGCCCACCAGCCTCTCGCCGGCAACGACCGGCACTTCGGGCACCTCGTTCATTGGCATTTCCGACTAGCTCCTGCCCTCCCGCCTTGCTACCTCCCAGCCCAACCCATCGTAGGCACCGGTAGCTTGCCGATCCTGACTTGGCTGCGTATTTGGCTGTCGCGTCGTTCCCCGCAACGAGCGAGTGGACGCAGCATTAGATGGACTCAACAAGCGCATGATTTGCCTGGATAGATTTCAAAGTGTGTGTGTGTGTGTGTGTGTGTGTGTGTGTGTGTGTGTGTGTGTGTGTGTGTGTGTGTGTGTATGTATGTGTGTGTGTGTATGTATCTCCTACCTTTGTATGGCATCGTCCATCCCCCCCCTCCTCCCCTCTCTTCCCTCCCGCCCCCCGCCCTGGTCGCTTTCGCGCCCGGCCACCCGTCTCCGCCACAAATGTCACTCGACGAGTCGTTCGACCATTTGGGCCGTGGCTCGCGCCTCGAGTTCGACTCTGACAATGATTCTGACGATGGTGGCCTCCTGGGCTCCACAGCTGGCGACATTGACTTTTATACAGTCCTCAACGTAGAGCGAACGGTATGCACACCACGTTCTTCCCCATGTGACCCTTGTCCGTGCCCTCGTCCTCTCCCCTTTGCCCCCCCCCCCCCTCCTTCCCGGCCCCGGCTGGCGCCAATCATGACGCGCGTGGTCGGAGGGCACGACCCGTGTGTCGGGCAATGGCATGGAGAAGGGGAGAAGACTCATGAAGAGGTTTGGAGGGAGATAGGCGAGTGCGGATGAGATTCGTAGGGCGTATCATCGTATGTCCAAGTACTTGCACCCGGACAAGCAGGGAGCATCCGAGGCCTTTCTCCGGGTGGCCAAGGCGTACAAGGTGCTGAGCGACGAGCGGCAGAGAATGATCTACGACTTGTTTGGGGAGAAGGGACTCGAGACGTCATGGGCTCTGGCAGAGACGCTCAAGACGCCTGAGGAGATGATGCGAGAGTACCACAAGCTCGAACAGCTCAAAAGGAGGAAGAGGCCGCCGCCGCTACCTCCATCTCGGGCGAGCTCTACTGCTACATCGATGCCTCGGACGCGCTCTTCCCTTCGAGGCCGTCGTCGAGCCGTGACTTGGCAGTCGAGCGCCTGCTGGTCACCCAGTCGGTCACTTCGCACATCTCCTCGCGCGACGCACTGGAGATCTCAGGCTATGCCATGGCCCGCAACGGGCTCGGCGTTGGCGGCGTCGACGTCGGCCTTCGCAGGCAACTCACAGCCAAGACCTGGGGCAAGGTCTCGATGGGCAACCAGGCCTCGCGGCTTGTTCTGCACTCGGACTTTACCGAGTACGCCTTTGGCGAGGCCATGGCCTCGTACTCGTGCCGGCCCAACTCGCCGGCCGGCTTTGACTGGGCACTGCTCCTCGGCCGTCAGATGACCGAGGCCTTTCTGGCCACGGTCTGCTTCCGGTTCGGCCTCCGCGACTCGGTTGAGGTTGCCGTCACCTCGAACGGTAGCAAGGCCGAGTCACAGGCCCGCGTCTCGGTTGAGGTCTCGCCCGACGACCTCTCGTTGAGCATCAAGTATGGCCGCAAGCTCTCGAGCTCGTCGACCGCGCTCGCCGAGGCTTCGGTTGCCATGCGCGGCGGCGCGAGCGTGTCGCTCGGCGCCGAGCGCGCCGTCTCTCGTCGGTCCAAGGTCTCGCTCGAGCTCGGGCTTTCCGCCACCGAGGGCGTGACCCTCGAGCTCGGCGTCAAGCGCGCCGGCTTTGCCTTTTCGTTCCCGGTCCTCCTCTATCCGTCGCTGGACCTTTGGGTGGCGGCCGGCGCAGCAGCGCTGCCGAGCGCCGCCGTTGCCGCCCTCAAGGCTCTTGTCATCAACCCGAACAAGGAGCGCCGCAAGGCCCGCCGCATCGCGCGCATGCGCCGCGAGCGCCTCGAGCTCACCCTTGAGCGCGCCGCCGCCGTCGCCGAATCGATGAAGACGCTGGCGCCTGTTGCTGCTGAGCGCCGCGAGCGCGAGTCCGCCAATGGCGGCCTGGTCATCGAGCAGGCCTGGTACGGCAACATTGAGGGCATCACGCCGCACACACCGTCGCCGCACTTTCCGCAGTTCATCCCTGTCGCCGACCAGCTCCAACTCCTTGTTGTCCGCTCGCAGCTTCACCTGCCGGCCTCGTCCAAGGCTGACCTCCTCGACTTTTACGACTGCACTCCGGGCGAGGAAAACAGCTCTTTGTCCGCTACCTCTTCCACGGCGTCCTCCACGAGGTCATCATCGACGACGACGAGCCGCTTGTCCTCGCCGACCGCGCCCATGTCGTCGACGACCCGACAACCACTCTATGGCATCCGGTCGTCCCGCCGGCCGGCGGGCCCGAGTACCCGGCCAAGGAATGAAGAAGAGGCGTCGAACCAGGGCGCGGCTCACGCACGAGAGCATCGTTCATTCGACGTCCTCGGGGAGCGAGTCGGGAAGGGCAGAAAGGTCGGAGTCGGGGAGGACCTCGGGCAGAACCTCGGGGAGGACCTCGGGGAGGGCCTCGGCGGCGGGCTCGGGAAGAACCTCGGGGAGGACTTGAGGCAGAGTGTCGGCAGCGGCAGGCTCAGTAGCGGCGGGCTCTGGGGCGGCAGGTGCAGCGTCGTCGAGGATGCGCACAAAAGACGAGGGGAACATGCCGATGCGGCCGTCAATGGCACCAGAGAGCCACTCGTCCTCGCCCTCACAGACCCAGACGTTGGAGATGTGCTGGCCGGCAACAAAAGAGAGCTCGTCCATGTGCGAGGCGTCAAAGTTGTAGAGGGCGACAGCCGAGACGCCCGAGTCCTCGCGCTCAGCGTCACCCGAAGCCGCCGAGGCCTCGGCCTGCTTGGCCAGAATGGCCTCAGTGGTGGTGAGGTTGACAAACGAGGTGGGGAACATGCCGATCTCGCCCTTGTACTCGCCCTGCAGCCAGGCCGAGTCCTCCATAGGGGTGACGTGCGAGAGGAGGGCGTCGCGCGGAAACGAGAGCTCTCCGGGCTCCTGGCCGACAAAGCGGTAGGCGGCGACGGCAACGACTTTGTCGGGGTCATACCCGTCGGGGAGGGCGTCCCACGGCGAGACCTCGGCTTCGCCCGAGCCGAGGAGGATGGCGTCCGAGGCAAACGACATCGACATGTCGTAGGCAGCGGCGCCCAGCGTTGTCTCGTTGTACTGGCGGTACGAGTCGTAGTCACCCGAGATGTAGGCTGCAAAGCGGACCTGGGTAGTCTCGGCGAGCGCGTCGTTGGTGATGCGGCCGGCCTCGAGAGCCGAGACGAGGGCAGAGCACATGAGGTTGACGTGGCCCATGTAGCCGAGGCGGAGCGGGAACCGGTGAACAGCCGAGTCCTCGGCGGCGGCGTTGGCGTCGACAAGATCCAGAAGCGCGCACCGGACCGGGTCCGAAGCCGCTGCTGCGGCAATCGACGGGTGCGGCGTCTCAATGCCAGCAATAACAAAGTCGGCGAGCACATGGTGCGCCGCGTTGTTCCACGGGAAGGCCCGCATGAGCCGGAGCGCGAGGACAAAGGCGGTGGCGTCGAGGGCCGGCGCTGCCGAAGAAAGGTTGGAGACCCGAGGACTTGCAAGAGCAGCTCGAGCATGCGGAGTCGGGCGTGGCCGAGACGGATCGGCTCGTCCGAAGCGTCGGCAGCAGCAACTGCGGCGGCGACTTCTTCGACAACACGGAGGCAGGCCGCGAGCTGCGGCTGGAGCTCGACCAGGAGCGGGGGCGGCGCGCCGAGGTGGTCGAGGGAGACGGTGGCACTCGTGGCCGCCACCGCGCCAGAGGCACCGGCGGCGCTGGCCGCCGCGCCGGTCGCAAGCGCGGTCATGTCGATGGAAAGGCGGTTGGCGCGGCGGGCTGCCTTGCGGGCGGCGGCAGCATCCTCGTTCGCCGCGGCTGATGCCGCCGACGGCGGCGCAGGGGCAGCATCGACGATGGCGTCGCCAGGCGCGGAAAAGGCGGCAACGGCTGGCGAGGCGATGAGCACGGCGCCACCGTCAGCGGCGGCCTGCAGCTCGAGCTTGTCTCCGTCCGAGACCTCGCTCAGCGCAGGCTCGGAGAGCTCGGAAGCAGAGTCCTCCGAGGCATCGTCGAGCGGCGCCGCTGTGGCCGCCGGCGAGTCGAGGCCGTCTGCTGACAGGACCTGGGCCTGGGCCAGGTAGTCGAGGCCGAGGTCGGCCTTTTCGGTAATGTCCGCGTCGAGCTTCTTGAGGATGGCGTTGATGAGGTCGACGACGTAAGCCGACTCGTCGGTCCGGCCCTTGGCGCACACGGTCTCAAAGTACGAGCCGAGGACGGCGGCAACAGGCGCCGAGAGGATGGTGTCGGCAAAGAGGGAGCGCTCGTCGGTGTTGATAATCGAGGTGCCAAAGTCGTTGGACGAGCCCTGGAGGGCAACGCGGAGCAGGATGGAGGCGTGCTCCTGGGCGGCGCGTGGGCGGGCCGGCGAGAGAAAGTGCAGCAGGCGCTCGACAAAGCCGTTGGCGAGGAGCCACTGGCGAAGGTCGCCCTGCTGCGGCAGGATCTCGCGGACTGACTGGAGCCACGCCGGCGTGCGGTCGGGCTGGACAGTGGTGATGGCACGGAGCGCCTCCACAATCGACCGGTCCTCGATCGAGTGCATCATCCGCGGGAGAAGGTCTGGCATACGCCGCATGACCTCGTACAGGTCCGCGGTCGTGTGCCGCCGCTCGGTGAGGAAGGTGATAATGCGAGCGAAAAAAATGAGCGTCAGACTCGCCGGCCGCACGTAGTCAGTCACGGCCTCGTCGGGCTCGGGGCACGGGACCGGCCACGACTGGGTCGGCAGCGCGGCCGTGCTGACCTCCAGCTCCGAATCGGAGATGCACACCATCGACGACGGCGAGTCTGGGCGATCGTCATCGTCGTCACCCTGACCATCTGAGCCTGCGGCTTCTGCAGTCCCCGACGCCCCGGCAGCACCTGCTGCGTCTGGCTCCGGGTCATCAGCGAGCACGCCACCGACGACGAGGCCATCCTTGAAGAAGGGGGCAAAGAGGCCACAGAGAACACCATCCGTCTTTGTCAAGCCAACGGTGACCACATCCAAGGTGATGATCTCACAAGCAGCACCCGCACGCTTCTGCGAGCCATCATCATCACCGGGCGAGAGGGCGGCCGCCAGCAAAGCCTTGATGTTGTCCACACGAGAGAGAGCAGCCACCATCATCGGATGCTTATCCGCACAAAGCGAGAGGACATCAGGTGCTTCCAGCAGCTGTAGTGCGAGCCAGAGAGGGAGGAGAGTGAGTGAGGGAGGTGGTGGTGAGCCGACAAAAAATGTGTGCATCCAATGGTCAGGTGCCAGAGGAGAAGGGGAGGGGGAGTGGGGGAGGGGGAGTGGGGGAGGGGGGAGGGACGAAGGAGGGAAGGGGGGTGGGGAGGGGGGGGTAGGAGGGGGAAACTCAGAGTATATAGTAATGGTGGTGAGCCGACAAAAAATGTGTGCATCCAATGGTCAGGTGCCAGAGGAGAAGGGGAGGGGGATGGGGGAGGGGGATGGGGGAGGGGGAGGGACGAAGGAGGGAAGGGGGGTGGGAGGGGGGGGGGGGTAGGAGGGGGGAAGGGTGGAGGGTGGAAGGGTGGGGGGGTGGGGGGTGGGGTAGAGGGGGGCGGGGTGTGGAAGGGGTGGGAGGGGGTGGAAGGGGAGGGGGGGGGAAGGGAAAGAGGAAGGGCCTTACATCGTCGAGGGAGAAGGAAGAAGAGGAGAGGATATCCAGAGCAGAGCGTGGTGAAGGAGTGGCGACAGGGATAAACTCTGGTTCAGAGTCTAGGCTCTCAGAGGTAGGACCGATGCCGGCATTGTCGTCATCATGGTTATCATCATCATCGTGGTTGCCACCGTCACCATCGTCAGAGTTGGAAGACGACGAGGAAGAGGAACCAGACGGTTCAGAGTCCTGCTTCTCATCACCGGTACTCTCCACATTCCGTCCTTCCTCATCGTCGTCGTCGTTGGTGGTGGTGGTGGTGGCGGTGGCGGTGGTGGTGGTGGTGGTGGTGGTGGTGGTGGTGGGGGGCGTAGCGGTGGCGTCGTCGACTTTGTCGTCGTCACCCTCGGGAGTCACCTTGGTAGCAGGGAGAGCAGAGGGAGAGTCAGAGGAAGAGAGAGGCACTTGGACATTGTTGTCACCCATGCCTTCCTCCATCTCTTGCTTCCCACTCTCCCCGGTCACCTCGTGTTCCGTGGGTGGCTGTCCCTCCTCGCTCATGCCGTCGGCTGTCCGGTGTGTGTGATGGCGGGGGCGCGCGCGGGCGGAGACGAATGCCGTTGTCTTCAATTGTAGTCGTACTCGTGTCATTGTACCATCAATATTTGCCTGTCATTTTGATGGACGAAAATGAGGGGGCGAAAAACCCACGGTTGGCGCAGGATAGGAGAGTCGAGCCAGCGGCTGGGGGGAGGGGGGGGGGGGAGGGTGTTGAGCAAGAACTACTCTATCGATGGCTATGGTGCTTGTTAAGGGAGGCTGAGTCCGCCATGGGCTGTTGTGCGTTGCGCGAGCGGGATCAAGGGGGGGGGGGTAGGGGTATGTATAAGAACATGACGGGCTAGAGATCGGAGAGTTCCTTGCGGATGGAGACGAGAGCGGCAACAGCGCCGACTCCGTCGTCCGAGACATCCGTGGTCAAGGGAGGCTCGGCGACCGTAGCGGGGATGGTGGCCAAGGCGTCGGCGGTGGAGACGCGTGAGGGGAGAGAGGGGGAGGAGGATCCGGCGGACGTGGCAGGCTCGTCGACGGGCGCGAGAAGGTTGGTGGTGCGGCGCGGCGGCGAGTCTATGACCGACTCGGAGGTTGACTCGTCGTCCGAGGGGAGCATGAGCGGGGCGTCGGTGGGCGAGGGTGAGATGAGGTCGAGGGTGACGCCAACGCCAATGTCTGGGCGGGCGGTGTATGAGCGGCGGTTGACGGCACCCCAGCCGTAGGACGGGGTGATGACGTCAAAGGAGCGGAAGAGGACGACAACGAGGATAAGGATGGCGAGGAAGAGAATGAGCATGGCCGAGTGCAGACCAGCCTCAAAGGCATCGTGGACGTGGCCGAGGATGTAGGGCACGACAAGCTCGCCAATCCAGGCAGTGATGACGAGTGCGTTGACCGTGGAGCGGGTGACGGCGACGTCAAAGAGGTGGAAGAGTGAGAGGAGGGTCGGTGAGAGACCCGACATAGCAAGGCCGAGGATGACGACGCCGGCCCAGAGGGTCGACGCCGAGAGCGGTGCCGACTCGGACGGCTTGCAGGCGATGAGGAGGAAGACGGCAAAGGTGGCACCGGCGGCGTAGCCCATGAGCCCATAGAAAGGCTTGATGTGGGCGACCAGAGGATGGACAACCATCCGCCCGAGCGTGAGCGTGCCCAGAAGGCGGCCGAGAGGTGGACCGCCGACGAGAACGAGCCGATGCCGGCGCGCATGGCAAAGGTCGGGAGCCACGAGCCAAAAGCGAGCTCAGCACCAACGACCATGGCGTAGAGGGTGCAGAGGAGGGCGCCGACGCGGACGTTGCGCGAGGCGGCGTAGTGAGCGAGCGACGGCTGCGATGGGTCGGCCAGCCACTCGCCCAGCGCGGTGAGGCGGAGGTAGTGGCGCGGGAGACGCGAGCCGAGCGCAAACGCGCCCGACGGCGTGGCAAACTGCGGCGGCGAGCGGAGGAGGAGGGCGACAACAGCGAGCGGGAGAATCATGACCGCCATGATCCAGTACGGCGTGTCAGGCGCGTCAGCAGACCAGGTGGCGGCAATGACCAGCGGCGAGACGACAGCGCCGAGGCCAAAAGCCAACGACATGGTGTGGAGGGCTCTTGATGACGCCTTCTCCCACAGATACATGACGAGGCCTGTGCCCACGGTGTCGACAAGGCCGACGCCTGCGCCGCGGAGGACAAAGAGGGCGTGGACGAGGCCTTCTGCGTTCCAATACGGAATGAGGAGCAGGGCGAGGGCGATGACGGATGTGGCCAGGGTGAGGGCCTTATTGGCTTGGTTGGAGAGGATGACGAGGACTCGGACACCGAGAACAGTTCCCATGACGGTCCCCACCATGCGGGCGAGAAAGAGCATGCCGAGGGCTGATGGCGATGAGGCATCACCCCAAGCAGCCGAAAGCAGGTACAGCGATGGGCCAAGAGTGCCTACCATCATGCCCAGGCCAACAAATGCAGCTCCATAGATTAGGGTGTCGCCAAGTCGCGTCAGCTGCGTCAGAGGCACGTATGAGAGGGGGAGACGCGCCTCGATGTCGGACGTGGCCAGGCGCGGCGAGTCGACTTGGTCGCGACTCAGGCCAAGTCGCGGCGAGGCGACCCGGGGCGAGGCTGTCCTCGGTGCGGGTGGGGAAGATAGAACGGGTTTTGTGGCCATGGCTGGGTGGGTGGATGGGTGTGTGGGGTGGGGTGGGGTGGGGTGGGGAGGAGTGGCAGGCGCGGGTGGCGGCGATTTGGGCAGAGGAAGCTGTCCGCGCAATGTTCCGAGGTGAACGGCGGGGAGTGGGAGGGAGAGGGGAAGGGGATAAAGGCGTGGACGCGTTCATGTTCAGTGTAAGGAGTGACAAGGAGGGGAGTAGGCATGATGACGTTGGCGATGGCGGCAGCGGTGGCGGTGGCGACGATGGCGGTTAGTGGCCGAGGTCGGGCGGCGGCGGCGGGGGACGGACGATGCGGTGGCGGGAGGGTGAGTCTGTAGGGAGGGCGTCAAAGTGCGGGGCCGGCAGCGAAGAGGAGGAGGCGGCATGGACAGAGAAGAAGTTCTGAGCGGCAAGCTCTTCGAGGACGCCAGTGATGCGCGAGATGGGCGGGCGGTTTTTGGGTTGGGCGAGAGGCAAGCTCGGAGAAGAGCGGTGAGCTCGAGAGGACAGTCCTCAGGAATGCTGACCGAGTTGCCGTCGAGGGCGCTGCTCCGCGACGAGCCTGTGGGCTTGCGCGAGTAGAGGACCTCGAACATGACGATGCCGAACGAGTACATGTCTGAGCGCTTGTCTGCGGTGAGGCCGTCGAGGACCTCGGGGGCCGAGTACAGTTCTGTGCCGCCGCCGCCGATGTCCATCTTCTTGAGGCCAGCAAGACCAAAGTCTGCGAGCTTTGCGGTAGCCGGGGCGCGGTCGTCGAGGAGGACATTGCGCGGCTTGATGTCACGGTGGGCGATGCCGCGCGCGTGCAGGTACTCGAGGCCGAGCGCGACCTCGTACAGGATCTGGAAGCGGCGGCGACGGGTGAGGTTTGAGGCCGATGGCGAGCCGTGGAGCGAGTCGTCATGCGGGTAGATGACCGAGTGCAGGTCGCCGCCACGCATGTACTCGGTGACGATGGACATGTGGTGCGGCTCGACGCAGACGCCCATGAGGAGGACGCAATTGGGGTGCTTGAGGTCGGAGAGGATGGAGGCCTCCTCGACAAATGCCTGGACCTGCTCTGGGTGGACGATGTCGCGAAGGACCTTGACGGCGACTTCGGTGTGGCCACGGCGAGCGCGGAGGACGGTGCCGTAGCCGCCGCGCCCAATCTCGCCAGTGATCTCGAGCTCGGACCACTTGATGACCTCGAGCCGGGTGTCAATAACAAAGGTGAAGACCTCGCCGCGCTTGCCCGACGAGGCTGTGTCGAAGCGGACCGAGAGCTCTTTGGTGCGGTCCTTTGCGGTGCGGAACGAGCCATCGGAGCCGCCTGAGATGCGGCCGTCCGAGGTCGACTCCTCGGCCGCACCGTCGACTACGTAATAGAAGCCCGAGCCCGACTCGTTGACCGAGTGCATGCCCTGGCGGCGGCCATGACGGGCGGCGGCGAGGAGGCCGACGGTCTCGGGGGTGACGGCGGAGGAGCGGCGGACGCGGACAATGGCGACGGCGACGACAACGCCGACACAGCAGACGACGGCGACGACGACGCCAATGATGGCACCGTAGGCCGGTGGCGGCGGGCTGTGCGACGTCGCGTTGCTCGAGCCGGTCGCGGTCGCGCTTGTGGACGAGAACGAGGTGAACGTGGCCGAGGTGATGGGCACAATCGGCGGTGGCGGGGTGGGGCCGGGCGCCACCGGCGGCGGCGGCGGCGGGTCGGCGGCGACCGGGACGCACCGGTGCGAGTCGAGGTCACAGACCGGGCAGCCACCGCCTGCATCGAGGCACTCGTTCGATGACGAGCAGTATGTAAGGACGCAAGAGGTGCACGAGTCGACGTGGCAGTGGTTGCCCTCGCACGCAGTCTGACAAGTTAGCCGCGGGTTGCCCTCGAGGTGACACACCATGTCGTGCGAGCACCCAGCCCAGCTCGGGACGGATCCGTTGAACGCGTTGGCCGAGCCGTCAAAGAGCGTCAGATCAGCGAGCGCAGAGAGGTCCGGCAGCTGGCCAAAGAGCTTGTTGTCGGCGACAGAGAGGGTGGCCAGGAGCGAGGCGCCAGCAAAGGCGGCCGGAAGTGTGCCGGTGAGCGAGTTGTTGTCGAGCTTGACGGTGCCGAGGTCGGAAATGTGCGGGAGGGTGGCCGGAATCGGCCCGGTGAACTTGTTGTGCGAGAGGTCGACAAGCTCAAGAAAGGGGAGTGCGGTAAACGTGTCCGGAATGGGGCCGGAGAGCTTGTTGTTGGACACTATCAGCTGCTTGAGCGAGCAGAGCTTGGGACAGGAGATCGGCGGGAGCGCGCCGACAAAACTGTTGAACGAGACGTCGACCGAGACCAGACTCGCGACGCCAGCAAAGTTGGACGGCAACGTACCGTCGAGGCTGTTGGTGTTGAGCAGGAGCGTACTGAGCTGCGAGAGGGTAAAGAGCGACGACGGCAGCGCCCCGCTCAGCTTGTTGCCGCGGAGATCGAGACTGACAAGTGCCGTCAGCTGTGAGAGTTCGTCAGGAATGCTGCCAACGAGGTTGTTCTCCGGGAGCGTGACGAGAACGACCTCGCCTGACGAGCAGTAGACCCCAAACCAAGCCGAGTGTGTATCGGACCCGCAGTAGTCTGAAAAGTGCAGCAGCTCCCATCCGGTCTTGACCTTCCATGAGTGCCCTCCGGTTGCATCATACAGCGCGATGAGAGCCTCTCTCTGCAAAGAAGAACGGATGCAGGCGGGTGGGGGTGAGGAGAGGTGAGTGATGTGGATTTTGAGAGCTCCTGCTGCGTGGGGGAGCGAGGCGGGCGAGCGACGGGAGGAGGGAGGGGGGGGGGAAGGGGGGGGGGGGGGGGAGGGAGGAGGGGGAGGTAGAGGGGGATACAGTGTCGACGAGGGTGTGAAGCACGTACTTGTGGATCACTTCTGGTGTGTACGTGTGTGTGTGAGTGTGTGTGTGAGGCTGGTGAGGCCTGTGAAGATGGTGTGCTTGCCGAGGTCGGCACCCCGCACATGACCGCAGCCAGGGTCATGACCACAGCAAGCGTATATACGAGAGACAGCCACCGAGTACGAGTCCAGCCCCCCACTCGGTCACGCATCCTATGTTGCTAAACGAGGGCTGCTGAGCTGAGAGTGGTGTTGTCCCCCTTGTCACCGTCGGGGAAGGGGGGAGGACTGGGGGGGGGGA